TAAACGGTGGGTGTCCGCACAGTCATCGAATTTCACGAGAGAAAGAAAGAGAGATCGAATGAGAGAGAGAGAGAGAGAAAGAGAGAGAGAAAGAGAGAGAGAGAGAGAAAGAGAGAGAGAAAGAGAGAGAGAGAGAGAGAGAGAGAAAGAGAGAGGAGGGAACCTGCCAAAGTCCGGCAAGACGCAGACGAGCAGGCGATGGCAAGCTGCACTGCAGAGATGCACATGCTCTTGGAAGATGCCCTTTAAGGGCAATATAGGGTTCTATAATAGGCTCCCCTTTAAGGGTACTATAGGGCTAGTATAGGGTTCTTAGGGGCCTTAATAATTACCTGGACCCTAAGGAACCTACCTTTTCAGGGTTCCCTAATATGATTTCTTTATATAAGTCCCTAAAAAGGTAAGTTACTAGGGGTTAAGGTAACCCCTAAACCCCAAACCCCTAAGCCCCGACACCCTCAACACTTTTAAGTTCAACCGAGCCTCACCGGCCCAGCTTAAACTACCCAGCCTTCCAAAGGGTCCCGCTCAGCCCGGTGGAAGAACCCAAGTACCCACTGGGGCCCCTTTTTCTCTGTTATGGCCTTAGTCATTAGAATGGGGTTTTGGGACCATTATACTTTAATTACAATAAGGAACCCCCAAAGAGTATAAGTAGTTATTTAAGCCCCTATAGTAACAACCGAGCTAATGCTACATCCGAACAAGTGCCCAAGAGAACGTAAAGAAACGAAGGCTGATCAATTCACAACAAGGGTCCAGCCCCCCTGCCGTTCCTTTTCCGTTGTCAAGCCCACATGGAATCCAAACAAAAGCCAAACAAACCTGCTCGTGCCAACTCTACTGGGGCTTCTTCTGCAATTGTGGGAGTTTCCCAAAATAGGGGCCCTTCATTTTTGCACCGTAAATAGTAGGATCCTTATTATAAGGACCCCAAAATAAGGTACCCCTAATTTCCGGAAACTCCCAATTGTCAGGTCTTTTCGTTTGACTGCAGGAGCAAGTGTCTCCAGGCCAGAAACACATAGGCAAGAGATTTCTCCAGCGTGAAGCGATAGGAAGCAATGTATCAGCGTAGGCTACAAGCCTCTTGCCTGGAAGCCTTGCAGCCTCAAAAATCCCAGCTGTGCCTTGCACGAAAGCGCCAAGCGGTGTCCTGCCGGTGCCACCGCCTGCAGTCGTTCCCGGGCTTCATGGGTTTGGAAAGTCGGGATTTCAGAGGTTGACCGCGTCGTAGCACACCATCGGTTGGAGCTTGGAAAGGGCATGAGAGAGTTTAGGATTCGGTTTTCTATTGTTTTGAGAAATTGATAGAACCCGAGTTTTGGACCACGAGAGATGTAGGGTTCAGACCGACATCAAGACTTGACCTTGGCGGATTACCTGCGCCTTTGCTTGAGGTTCGGGAGTCGTCAGCAACATGTGCCATGCACTTTCAAACTTGCTCGTCCAGCCTTGGGCCCCACCGAATCGAAATTCGCAACTTTTCCATCGCTCCTCATCGGAGGTAGAGTTTGGGGTTCAGGGATTTCGGGGTTAGGGGACGTAGGGGTTGAGGGGACCTGAGATACGGCAGCAGATCTTTATAGTTGAGGGGTGGGTCCTTCAAAAGGAAGATGCCAGTGCTCTACGTAGCTAAGCCCCGGTTTGCCTCCAAACATCCTAGTGTCATGGTGGTTGATCATCCTCAGCCCTGCACAGCACAACAGATTACTCAGGAACCCACACACACACACGGATAGAAAACTTATACACTACATGTGCACAGCCAACCCAGCCAGAGAGCGAGTGAGAGAGTGAGACAGCGGCAGAGACAAAAAACAAAAAAAAAGCTCCGGATGCCTTCATGCCTTCTTTGAGCAAATGCGGAGCCAGGTCATCAGAAAGCCAAAGTTCGGACTGGACACAGCGCTCCAAACTACGAAGCCGGGGGCGCAAACCATGATATACAGCGTCGATGCTTCAGAGACAGTTAGATAGACGTCCAGCCAGCCAGCGAGCCAGGCAGGCAGCCATGCATCCAGGCAGCCAGCCAGGCAGCCAGTCAGGCAGCCAGGCAGACTGCAAGGCAGGCAGGCAGCCAGGCAGACGAAACAACAACAACAACAACAACAACAACAACAACAACAACAACAACAACAACAACAACAACAACAACAACAACAACAACAACAACAACAACAACAACAACAACAACAACAACAACAACAACAACACAAAAGCAACACCCACAACCACACGAACACAAAGCAACACCAGTTTGCCTCGAGAGATCCCTACATCCCAACCAACTTAGACCCCGAACCCTAGGAACCAAACCCCCCCCCCCCAAACCAAAAGTAGAAACCCACCCCTGAACCGAAACCCGAGGGTTTCGGGCTTAGGGTCAGTTGCCGAGGAGCCATGCAGAGAGCTTCGGAGCTCTCTTGCAGTTCGGAACTCTGTGGCAGCTCTGAGTTGCAGCCTTTTCGGGCTTGGAGCTTCAGAGTCTGGGGTTCAAGGCTTACCTTAAGCCGGAATAACCTAACTTCTTAAGGACTTATATAAGGAAATCATAATAAGGGACCCTAAAAAGGTAGGTTATTCCGGCTTGAGGTAGGGTTTAAAGGTTTAAGTTGTGGGGTTTAGGTTTTGGGGGTTTAGGTTTTGGGGTTTAGGGTTTGGGGTTTCGGGTGTGAGCTTTTTTCAGAGGGCGTATGGGTTGTTATTGGGACTTGGCAGAAATTCGAGGGCTTCTTACAGTGTTGCCCTCAGGTCGCACAGGGAATCTTATGTTTAGGGTTTGGTTGGGGTTGTCAGCGCGCCTTGCGTTGGCAAGGTACTGAGGAAGTCTGCCTTTCGCTGAACCCTAGAGCCTAATGTAGGGGCCCAAATTCTTACCTATGCTATTTTAGGGGTTCATTAAGTATATAGTAGAAGCCTGAAAGTTGGAACATCATCATCCCCATGCCCTTACGGTAAAGTATAAGGGATCCAGGGATCCTAGCACTAATCCTCCTAAAACCATGTTCCAACTTTCTAGCTTCTACTATAGTATAATGGGCCCCAAAACCCTATTCTAATAAAGACGGCCCCAATATTATGGAACCCTGCTATAGATCCCTTCTAAACCCCTTCAAGGAACCCCGTAAAGGAACCCTGTTCGAATTATGAAGGCCCTTATAGTATCAAATATCCAAAAGCCTGAGCAATGGAAATAATGGAATCGAGGCAGGCTTTACAGTGTGATACTGGTTCATCACCCAGAGAGCCCAATACCTCCTCCTTAGGAAAAGATACGTTAAACACCATGGGCTCAATATTAGAGGGTAGGACGCATTGCAGGCCCAATTTTACGTGTAAATTACGTATGGGTTCTGTAATATTATCATTTAAGGACTATTCCTTTATGAAGGGATATTGGGCTCTCTGGGCATGATGGTTGTAGCCCTTAACTTGACCTTGTAGCAGCTGAGCTGAGCCAGAAGTAAAGAAAAAGGGGGGTGAGCCCGTCTAGGTTTTGGGGTAGGTTTAGGCTTTAGCGTTTAGGGTTTAGGAGTTTCAGGCTTAGGCAGATTGAAATTCAAATTCGCAGTCTCCTGAATACATTGAAGAGGGCTACGGGATGCCTAGAAGAAGACTTCCCGAGAGCTTCTTCAAGGGCAGGGCTGTACTTCTCTTAACCCTAAAGCCTACCTTAACCTCAAGTAGCATACCTTTGTGAGGACTTATATAAAGAAATCATATTATGGAACCCCAAAAAGGAAGGTTTAAAAACCCTAGGCCCTAAGCGCACAAACCCCAAACCTGACGATTCAGCTTATAGAGCAGGGGCCGTGCATTTTGGGCTCACTATTCACCTGAAGATTCGGCCCGGTGAGGACGGTTTAGGTTTGAATCGTTGCCAGATGGGAGTTTCCGAAATTAGGGGTACCTTATTTTGGGGTCCTTATAATAATGATCCTACTATTCAGGGTACTATATTAGGGTCCCCTATTTTCGGAAACTCACAGATAGCCGCCTCCTTGCTGCTACGGGATGCCACAGCCGATTTCCCTCGGGTACACGTAGTTCTTCTACGTAACCCCACTGAGAAAGTAGGCAACCCTGCAAGCAGTGACAGGCCGCAGCCGCAAGCAACATCAATTAGAAAATTGAGAAAGATGCAAATGCAAATGCGTTGTGAGACCAGCAGAAAGCCAAGGTTGACTAACATAGGGGTCTTAACAATTAGAATAGGGTTTTGGGAAGCATTACACTACAAGGAGCACCTAAAATAGTATCCGTAATTATTTAGGCCCCCTATATTATGTAGCACCGACAATCTACCGAGGCCTTCTCCGTCTCTGAACGCACGGCGCTCGCGCCACATCCCATGGCTGAGACGGTGAAAGCGAAATCCGGACTCCGACCCCGAAGCGTTACCTGGACCCTAGGGAACCTACCTTTTTAGGGTTCCCGAATATGATATCTTTATAAAAGTCCTTGCAAAGGTACGTTACTTGGGGTTAAGGTAAGACTTCCGTACTGATGCTAGGCTGAAACGCTCTACTTTTCAGACACCTGTATTTCAAGCCTTGAAGAGGAGGATCATCTTTAGAGTTTGGTGGGTGGAGACGCAGAATCCCCTTGTGGGAGGGCGACTACACAAACCTCGAGCCGAGGCAAGACGGTCAAGGAGCGCTTTCTGGCAGGGAGCGCCGCCTTTCAACCTCTCTAGAACATGGTTTGAAGCTTGGGGTTTCAGGGCTCTGGGTTCTTGTTCGGTGTTCTGCTGAAGATTTCATCTTAGAGATGACCGCGCACCAGTGCCAGATCTTCAGCACCAAGCCAACATGACAGAGTCCGCAGACTGACCCTGACCTGTGCAGACTCGGGTGGGGGCTGATCCCCCTCATCGCAAGATGGGGGACGGTTTAGGGGCGTGATTTGTAGGGTTTTAGATTTGGGTTTCGGCTTCAGGGTTGAGGGCTTAGGCGGATAGACTTTCTGTGGTGCAGATCTCTGCGATGCTAGCGGTCCTGGATGTGGAGAATGCGCCAGCCTGTTCGGAAACGGCCAAAATCCTGCTCAGGGTGTCGGCAAGTGGGTGCAGCAGGAATGAACTTCTTTCAGTTCTCTAGATCACTTAGGCTGGTGCCGGGCGGAGCAATGAATCGCACGTTGCAGTCTGCAGTATTACCAGAGTGGGACATACCTGCCGGCAGCAGTCATGTACTACTGCTACTCTACTACTACTACTACTACTACTACTACTACTACTACTACTACTACTACTACTACTACTACTACTGCTACTACTGCTACTACTACTACTACTACGACTACTACGACGACGACGACGACCACGATGACCACGACGACGAGCACCAGTAGTAGTGGTCGTCGTCGTAGGAGTAGGCCGTGGAGGCGTAGGAGGAGGACGAGGAGGAGCAAGGCGGAGTAAAAGGTGCGCATCTTGAGTCGAATCGATTACCCCCGAAACCCCTGCCTGCACGAGCTGCAAGCTTGTATCCAGCAGTCCACACAGGGAGGTCAGGTCTGCAGACCTACAGCTCAAGGGGGTTATTTTTCCACGGCCGGGGCGTCTAAGCTAAGGTCTTTCGGGTTATTGAAGGACCCACAGCTAAACATGAAAACTAAACGGGAAATGTGGTCTGAAGACGACTGCCAGCAATTAAAGGCTTTTTTGCAGCAGAAGTTGGTGCGCAGACACTACCAAAAACAACTGTTGCAACTACTGAGCCTGTGACGGCAACATTGCTGCTCCTGCATCGTTTGGCATCGTCTCTCCCCTCGTGTTGAAGCTGCCCAGAGAGCCCAATACCCCGTGGTTAACGAGCGTAGCTTAAATCAAAATATGAAGCTACTCATAATTTGGGGTATATTCCTTTTATTGAGGGGTATTGGGTGTTACTGTTCTTGCATCTACGTTAATGACTAGTACTACTGACAGTTATAGCGAACGCATGGCCGCGCACCCGGATTCAAACTAGACCTCCTCCTGTAAACTCACAGTCACAGCAGCCTATACAGGTCCGCGTGCCCACGACACGACCAGCTTCACAAGATAGCTCGACTCCCCACTTCGAAGCAACGTTTGCCAGATCTTCTGATGCAAAGCCTCCTTCGTTAGCCCTCCTGACATGCAGGAGGCGCAATGAATAAAGGTTGTCGACGAAAGTGCAGAGGCTGGTTCGGACAGATTCAACATCTGCTGCTGACAGTTTTGGGGGAGGCTCCCAGTGGAATTCCTGAAGCCAAGACCACTGCAACCTGTGCAGAAATTCTTGCACATGCGAGGCAGTCAGCCCAGACTCATCAAAATGACCATGCTGCAGGCTAAACCCCAAAACTCGACTGCGACAAATATTTTCAGCTAACGCACAGAGTTCTCCACCCGGAAATGCAGCTGACAAAAAAACCATGCAGCAGTCGGATGGCCATCTAATCTGGGAAAGGACTTCTGCCAATGTCTCGTCGTAGCCGTAGCCATCGTCGACAATCGAAATATGCATGAGGGGAAATGCGTCCAAGCAACGCTGTAGTGATGAGGCGCCATCCCCCGGGCCACAAACGATCTCAATTCTCAGGTTGTGCAAGCGGCATAAGGATGCACCGCAATCTGCAAGGCTTTCAAGGAGTGAAGCTGCAGACTGCCCGGACGTCCTATGAATTGAAAGGCTAAGTTCAAGAAGGCTGCTGAAAGTCGGCAAGACCTTGACTGCTGCTTCTGGGCAGCCGTAAAAGTGCAGGCTGTCAAGTGCAACGGAGTGTCGCTGCAGGTTGCGCAAGACCGTCATCCACAGAGTGCGATCCCAGTCCCCGCGAAAATCAGATATGTCAAGCTTTTTCAGCTTGACGAAGGGGCCCAGGAGCCATCCCAGGCAGAGCGTGAAGAAGTCTGGGTTCTGGGCTTTACCAACACCTTCGACACCTTCCCGTATTGCAAGCTCAATCACCTCGCCCCTGTCAATTGCAGGCAATGACTTGATCATCATCATCATCCGATCCGCAGCGAAGTCGTTGCAGTTGACACCAACGAAAGGCACGATGAGCAGGCCACATGGGGAAACGCACCAGCTCCGTACAGTTCGATTCGCCAAGCTCGCAGCGGCAATGCTGAAAGGATCTAAACAGGGCGCCAGCTGCTTCCACGCAAACTTCTTCTCCAACACAATGGCGGACATGGTCTTCCAAGAGGAACAGAACATAAGGTGGAACAGTGAAACACCACTAGTAGTGATCCATGGTGGCCTTGACGCAAACTGTTGTATAATAGAACCCGAAACGTTAGAAGATCCTGAGCTACTTCAACAATACAACTATTCGATGATTCTCTCGTAGCAGTATTACAGGGTATACCGACACCCCTGATTTGTTTACCATTATCCATTGCCGAAATCACTGTTATTAGCAGGTAAGGGCTCACCTAGACTAATTATCACGCATGCCTCATAGCTATGTTACCCCATCTTCAGCCCTCTATGTAAACGATTATTGCATCTCCTGAATTTGGTCCGGGAGACCCTAAACCCTAAACCCTAAATCCTAAACCCTAAGAGGCATGGAGCAGCTGGGATAGGTTGAGGAATTCAAAAGTTTCGGGGCGAGCTTCCTATCCTTTCAACCGCTTGAAATCCCCTAAACCCTGAACCCTAGAGATCCCTTAAAGGAACCCTTATGGATACCTTCAAAGGGATCTAGGGATCTCGTTTCGGGTTGTAGGGTCATGGTTCTGCCGCGCGCTACTGAAGCAATACTCGAACAGAGATTTTTGGGTGTGGCGGGGGCAGCGTATAAGAACTGAGGTGGGACGATATGCCATACCTTGAGCACAGAGCGGAAATGCCATGGAACTTGCTTTATGAAACCGGGGTTTCGGTAATATTGGGGCCTAAATCATTAGAATGGGGTTGGGGGGCCCATTATACTATGATCATAATAAGCAAATAGTATAAGTAACTACTAAGGCCTTTCTTTATAGTCAGGCTTTTTACAGGCACAACAGATCGGGCTGCGGACATGTTGGGATTTTCAGGGGCGATAAGAAACTTCTTGGGATACCTACCTGCATACTTTGGTGGGATTCGGAAAGGAAGCATGTCACAACTTTGAGAGGATACGTACTAAAGGATGAAGCTTCTGGAGTACAGAAAAGCTGAACCGCATCAACAAAACAAAGCTATCTGCCTCTGATTCGTTTCTAACTTGAATCACGTCTAAGGCGTCAGTAAATGATACAATCATGGCCCCGAGAACGTTGATAGAACCCCTATGACTGCTGAAGACCTCTTTATGAACCAAACCTATCTCCCCGCAAAACCCCTCAACCCCTCAACCCTGAACCCCTAGACCCTCAGAACCAGAGCCTCCCCACCTGACTTTTAGTCTTTGCACGTCTAGTCACTGAAGCCCCACAGCCCCCCAAAACACTCATCCCCAATCTCTACAAGTGCCAAACACCCGTCCGAATCCCAAGCCGTGAAACCAATCCCTGCAGCCCGTGGATGTTGCCGTTTAGGGCTTAGGGCTTGGAGTTTAGGGTTTAGGGGTCCTGAACCCAGAGTCACGGAGAGCCCAGTGCCCCGCTATTAAGGAATATCCTTAGATTAAGAGGGGCTTCAGATTATGACTTAGGCTACGTTCCTTCATTAAGAGGTATCAGGGCCTGTTGGGATCTGTATTCAGATCCTCCAGATGTTCTGCAACTCCGAAATCCTGACGTCCAGTGACGAGATTAGAACGGCGATCGCCACGGTGGTGTGACCAAGCTCGGAGTACTCGGGGACTGTCTCCTACGCCCAGGATAAGTCTTCGGGGAAGCAACGTCGTCCCGAAGTCACACAAGGACCCTCACAGTCACAGTAGTAGGGCATGTCACAGAGAGGGCTTCATCGGGGCTTTGGGGGCATGTGTTAGAAGCTGCCCCCACCCTGTAATAGTGACTATAAGGATTATATTAGGGCCCTATTATATTCCTATTATACCACTAGTACAGGGTGGGGGCCCCTTCTAAGGTATGTGTTATTGATTCCTCCATAGCAACACACGCCACTTTGCAAATCCGAAACCTGGGTCCTATGTGCTTGGAGAAACACTGCATCGAAGTACTGGGCACTTCTCTCCGTAAAGCATCTCTCTCACATAACGAAACCTTCTACCCAGGCACCTCGAAGGATCAACATGAAGTACGGGTTAAGACAGGCCTCGTTTAGGAAGTTGTAGTTTCTAAATCCTTCCGGTGTCTGGGTAGACAGTTGCCCAAGCTCGTAGCATGACCTAACAAACCTTCCACTGCCGCAGCTTCTGCCCTGAGCACAGAACCATCGACTTGGGACACATCCAAGTCAGCAGATTCTAATGTAGGAACATGATGAAGAAACCCTGGGCCTATAACCCCCACAAAGTAGGACCCCAAATAAGAGCCCAACGTTTCTTCATCAGGTTCTTATATTAGCAGCAAGTCCAGGCTCGCGTCCAATACCCCAGCCCGGCTCGTCCATTCATCCGTCACGTCTTGCTGGAGCAGGGGCACAGGGAAAGGAGATGATGTCTCTCACATACATGCACAGCAACGTTCGGTCAGCCACAGCTGTAGCAGCACAGATATGTAAGACCTAAACCCTAAACTTTAAACCTTAAACCCTCCACCCTCAATCGGACACCCCACCCTAAAACCCTAAACCCGAAACCTTTAAACCCCGGCTCGGAAATGTGGGAACTCCCCGCTTGCTCCTCTTTGAGGCGCCGCAGTGTTTGGCCGACGTCTTGCTGCAACATCCTGGACACAGTGCCGGAGACTTGGAGGGTTCAGGGTTTAGGTCAGAAGGGGCCCCCACCTTGTAATAGTGACTATAAGGATTATATTAGGGCCCTATTATATTCCTATTATACCACTATTACAGGGTGGGGGCCCCTTCTAAGGTTTAGGGCTCAAGGTTTCGAGGATTGGGGGCTTAATGTATTGTTTTTGTTTTGGTCCCAGGTGGCATTTTTTCATGTTCTGGGCTTCTAACTGTTGGGGCAGGGACAGTTTGGCGACCTGTGTAACATAGAATCATCTGCACCCAATGCAGTCAACAGGCTAAAATACAAGACTTACAAAAAAACTCAGGCAAAAAAACGATGCGAAGGATCCTTGCCAGGAAGAAATTGCCGCCCATGATTTCAAGCCCAAGCCAAAATCTTGTCTGAACGAGGCCCTAAACCCGAAAACCCAAATCCAAAGCTGCACTCGGGACTGTTCCATGAGATGCCGCCATCGTGACCCCACCTCGAAGCCAAAAACTATCAAGAGCCTAAAATTCCATAAACCCTAGACCCTAAACCCTCGCGACCCTAAACCCACTGAAGCCGAAACTCAAAACTGCACATCACAGGGGCCTTAGTCTTGAAATTGGGTTTGGGGAATTATTAACCCACCTTTATTAAACCCTTCTAGAGCCCTTTTTTAAAGGAACCCTAAGCTGAGGGTTGGCTTAGGGCTTTGGAGTAAGGCTTTGGGGTTTGAGTTCCTGGGCCCCTGATGTAGGAACCTGATTCAGAAACCCTGGTCCTGTAAACCCCAGAATAGTAGGGTTCATGTAAGGAACCCTAATAAAGACCCAGAGTTTCTTAATCAGGTTCCTATAGTAAACCTCACCGAATCCGAGGGGCAGAGCTCGTCTGCCCAGCTCCTGCATCTCACGAGCTTCAGGCGGCAAGAGTTGAGGGCTTAGGGCTTCGGGTTTCTAAGAGTTTAGGGTTTAGGGTTTAGAGCTTAGGATCTTTTTTAATGCAATGGCCCTTTCCTCGCATGAACGAGTTTAGGGTTTGAAGTTTAGGGTTTAGGGTCTAGGGCTCTCTTTTTTAAACGGCGAGCGACTAAGTCGAAGGTTTAGGGTTTAGAGTGTTTCAGAGTTTAAGGTTTCTGGTTTAGGAAGTTTAGGACTTCTGTAGAGTTGAGGGTTCAGGATTGGAGTTTGTGTCAAGGTTCGGGTTTCCGGCGGAGGGCTTTTTACAGCTTCTGGTTTAGGCTGTTTCCGGTTTGTGCATCCTCGGTACCTACTAGAAAGGTCTGGATGAAAAGCTGCAACGGTCTCCCCTGATGGTCGCTTGTCATTTTAGATATACTATACTTGACGATGCACTAAACCCAAAACCCAAGACCCAACCAAAACCCCGTTCGAATTCTGAAGGCACTATACAATATCCCTTAGTTAAGAAATATACCTGCAAGTATAGCAGGATCCCTTGTAGGATTTGAGGAATATTCCTTAAATTAAGGAATGTTGGACTCTCCGGGTACAGAGCTTCTGCCGGCATGTGGGCTCCCGGCCAGGTGTTCAGTTCACGGCCTTTTGGGTCAAGGGCTTGGCCTAGGGTTAAGCATGTTTTGAGCAAGGCCGCGGTTTTAAGTCCAGACTCCAATATCCCTGAATTAACGACCTTAAATTATACTAGGATCCCGAATATGAATATTCCTTAGTTAGGGGATGTTGGAGTCTCTGGGTCAAACCCTAAATCCTAAACCGTTGGGGTTAAGGGTTGCTATTTTGGCCTGGAGCTTCGGATTTTGGGCAAGGCTATCGTCGAGGCAACCAGCTGGTGGAGGTTATAAGGCCCAAGGGACGTTGCAAGCAAGGTTATAAGCCTGGTTTTTATTAGGATATCCACACTTATAGGGCACTTCTAACCCCAAGTACAACCTATAATTCTGGCTTTAGATAAGGATATCCCTACTTATAGGGCACTTCTCACCCCAAGTACAACCTTACTTACGGCGTCCCCTGAGCCCTTCAGTACTGGCCTGGTCTGTGAACTGGCCAGAGACCCCACAACCCCTCGAGAGGAATCTGCTTGAAACTAGAAGGGGATCTATACGGGGATCCTTCATATGAGTTAAGGTGTAGATTCCTCAATTCGGTGGCTTGAAAGTCTCTGAACTACAAGGAGGCCGAGGCACGGGACTTAAGATCTGAAGGATCACCCCGCATTTGGCGATGTACCCACGCTACAAAGCCTAAGCCCTGTACCCCTGAACCCTAAACCCAAACCCCTAAACCCTTACATTAAACCCTAAGCCCTGAACCCCCAGTGACTGCTTCATCCTCAGCGCGCTGGCGTCGCCGCCTAATTGTCCAGCCCGCTGCCTGCAGGCGTGTCGCAAAGCCGCCATGAACAGGATCCTATCGTGAAGACGAGATCAAGTTCTCAACCCGCGGACTCGGAACTTGTGTGCATTCCTGCTGACATTCTAGAACGTATGCCATACCTTAGCCCCAAATAACCTACCTTTTGAGCGACTTATATAAAGAAATCATATTAGGGGGCCCTAAAAAGGTAGGTCCCTTAGGGTCAAGGTAAGCCTAAAACGCAAGCCCTGGGAGTTGCTCAACGTTTTGTGCGGCCTCGTCTGGCTCATGATCTGCGATGGCCTGCGCCTGCCATAGAGTAACCACGGGCTGAACAGGAACCACACACACACACACCTTGCTTATATAGGGGCCTTAATAATTAATTAGAACAGGGTTATTGGGGCCCATTATACTATAAGTATAATAAGGAACCCCCACAATAGTATTGGCAAGTATTTAGACCCTACAGTACTCATACTCCAAACCATCACAAGAGACTGCAAAGAGCCCCTCGTCAGTGGCAAGTTGCCACAGACATGAAGTGTGCATCAGTCGCTCAACCGTTGATAAACGCCGCAGTGCTTGATCTACTTCTTCTACTTCTTCAGCCAAAGCATGTTCACTTTCGACAGGACTGTCGTCATAATCCGCGCATGATCCGAGGTACGTCCTCAGCCCCCCCGCCCTCCACTCCGATTATTTAAAGTGGCAGAAACCACGCCCTGGCCTCCGCCAAGGCATCCACAGCCTCACCGAAGGAGGAGAAGATGCCTGGGACAAAGCAAGAATTCTGCGGAGATGTCACAGGAATTTAGGGTTCCTTTAAAGGGGTCTATAAGGGTTACTATACGGGGTCTATAAGGGTACTATCATAGTGTAGGAACCTGATTCAGAAACCCAGGGTCTTTATTGGGGCTCTTTACATGAACCCTATTGCTTTGGCCAGGGTTTCTTGATCAGGTTCCTACATTACATTAGTCTTAACTTCTGGGTTCCCAAAGACTCCAATATCCCTCAATTAAGGAATATACCTTAAATTATAGTAGGATCCCTTATATGACTTAAGGAAGCTTCCTGAAATAAGGGATATTGGAGTCTACGGGTTCACTTGTGTTCAATTCCTTCAACCGGCTAAACCCTAAACCCCTAAACCCGAACCTAAGCCCTAAACCCCTAAACCCTAACCCCCTAAGCCCTAAACCCTAATCCCAAACCCGAACCCCCTAAGCCCTAAACCTCTAAACCCTAAACCCTAACACCCTAAGCTCTAAGCCCTAAACCCTAACCCCAAACCCGAACCCCCTAAGCCCTAAACCTCTAAACCCTAAACCCATAACACCCTAAGCTCTAAGCCCTAAACCCTAAACCCTAGACCCCTAACCCTAACCTTAACCCCAAGTAACCTACCTTTTTAAGGACTTATATAAAGACGTCATATTAGGGAACCCCAAAAAGGTAGGTTCCTTAGGGTCCAGGAACACTCTATGGTTTCTTTTTACGGGGTCTCAGAGGTTCGAGGATTGGCTGCGAGTCTCTGCCGAGGCTTGGGCCCCCTGGCGTCAGACTTCCAGGGTTCCTTTAAGGGTTCCTTTAAGGGATCCTTTAAGGGTTCCTTTAGGGGTTCCTTTAAGGGTTCCTTTAAGGGATCTGTAGGGTTTGTAGGGGTTTAGGGGTTGCGGGGTTTAGGGGCTAAGGGGCTTGAGGGGTTTAGGAGTTTAGGGCTCAAGTCGGAAAACATCGCAGGAGCACATGCAAACCTAGCCAATTCAAGAGGAAGCAGATCTTGTTGGCAAGTTTTCTGGAACAGAATTGGTAGGATGACGATGCCATTGCTCACTCGAAACCATCAGAAGCCAATCTGGGAATGCCTGGGCAAGACCGCCTTGCCCGGCTGCATCAACCCTGAAAGCCCCTAAATCCTAACCCTAAACTCTAAACACTAAAAACCTGAACCCCGAACCCTTAACCGTTAAATGCAGAGCCTGTGGTAAGTCCACCTGGACCCTAAGGAACCTACCTTTTTGGGGTTTTCCCTAATAGGACGTCTTTTTTTAAGTCCTTAAAAAGGTAGGTTACTTGGGGTTAAGGCTTTAGGTGTGGACCTACGAAGTTTGTCTCGGCCTTGTGGGCCGGTACACCAGAGACCCGTTTGAAGAAAGCTGGCTTGGTGTCGAGTTAGGAGTTTCCGAAAATTAGGGGGGGTCCCTATTTTGGGGGCCTTATACTAAGGATCCTACTATTTAGGTACCTATTTTCGGAAACTCCCAGCTAGGATTTAGGGTATAGGGTCTGGTTATGTTTAGACCGCTTCGCGCGCCTCCGCTACGTGGCCACGATGAAAGGAAGCGCCATGCTCCTCCCGTAGAGTGGATAATATGCAATCTGGGTTCTCGAGAAGGGATTTATTTTTAGCCACGTTCATAAGGATCTATATCTATAGTAAATTATACGGTTTCCTTATTATGGCAACTTGAATTAAATCCCTTAACAAGAACGCAGCAATCGCTATACTTTGCGCTGTCGGGGTTCCACTGGATCTCGGCTGGACGCATGCCGTAATGGGATGAGGTTGCAGGAGCTTTCTTCGAAGCCTAGCTGTTTCTTGAACGGGTGGTGAAAACCTACACCCTGAACCTAAACCACACAGCACACAAAACAAAACTTGCAAAATGGTGCCGGGAGCATGGTCCGATTTGGATTCTCATAAACAGTAATAACAATAAACATACTTAATATTGTGCGAAAAATCATAGTAACAATACAAAAACCACAATGAAAATGACAAACTGAAGAATCGGAATCCAGCATACTCACAGGTCTCAACTTTGCAAAACCCTGCAAAGCGGGCTCCGTCTGGGATCTCAGAGACTCCAAAGCGATACATGTATATATGCATATATATATATATATATGTACATATACATATAATATATGTTGAATTTTCGAGAGGGCATATTCCTTAATTCAGAGGTTTTGGTGGAAGCAACACCTCTGGTCTCTGGACTCCTGAACTCCTAAGTAAACCCCCTAAACCGCAAACTCTAGTTCAAGTCAAAGGCAGGATGATGCTCTGGAAAACGTTGGGTTCGGCGACCGCCCCAAATATGTAGGGGCCTTAATATTTTTGTTGGGAGGGGGGTGTATTATACTCTATTATAAGTCTCATCGGAAACTGTAAGGAATAGTATCGCAAATTATTCAAGCTTCTATGTTGAACTGTGTGGAGGCCTCGATCACCTGAGATGGATTTGCGTTCCGGTTTGGGTGCAACCCAACAGCTAGCGAGAGCTGCCAAAACCACTCAGACAAGCAGCCTTGATCAGCGAAAGATGCCATGCAGGCCACGACGCACGAAGTACTGTAGGGGCCTTGATAATTAGAATAGGGTTTTGGGGGGGTTCCTTAATACAACTATAGTATACTATACCCCACAACCCTATTCTAATAGTTAAGGCCCCTATATTTAAGAAATAGAGAGAAGTGAAAGAAGTTGCGATCCGTGTAGTGTACATTTCCAGGAACCTTCAGGGATAAGATTGTGGTCGGATCGGGCTCAGGGCTTTTGCTCTTGACCCATTTACCGTTCGCGATACCATGACTGAGCCGCGATCAGCTGCAGCACTCGATGTGGCACTGACTCTCTGCGACTCATCTCCCGACACACCTTTGAGCTTGACCATGAAAACAACAAAAGGAAAATGTTACAAACCCCGCATGCCTCACCCCAACCAAAATCTATTAAACTCCATGTTTGGGACTTCACCAGACCCCTAAACCCTAAACCCTAAACTCCGAAATCAGGTTCTGAAAGTCCGGGATTGGAAATCAGGGGCTCGAGTTCGGGGAGTCAGTGCAGGGGTTGGACAGTTTGATTTCTACTATTTGCTTAAGAAACACCCAAAAAATAAAAATGATAATCCCTATATTATCCCTATAAGGAATATTTCTTTTTATTTTTTGGGGGTTCTTAAGCAAATAATAGATTTGTTGAGAGTGTGCAGGGGTTTGGATCCAGGAACCAAGGTCTGGATTTAGGATTCTAGTTGTTCGAGTCTGGAGGCGATAACAAACAAAGTCGCGCTGCAAGCAGCTGCCGGCTTCTCTCATTCAGAACGGAGGACCTACGGCATAAAAGTTGGTTCAGCAAACAGAAAAAATAGTGATTTCTGTTTTGCAGAACCGTATTTGCATGCTAATTTACTACGTCCACTCGGATGTAGATCTGCACATGGATTACTCGGCTAAATTGGGGCATACTTTGATTTCCTAATTGTCACGTGCACGCCATGATGTGTCCTGCAACGGAGCGTCATCGCTGATGTCCACCGAAAAGCCCGAAAGCCAGCACCCGAACCGCCATGCCCTTTACGGGTGACCGAATGGTGCTCAACGGTTGCGATTTAGGTGTCTGAGGCTGTCCGGAGCTGCAGTCTACGATGCAGTATGGAAGGGGACCTGAAGCTCGCTACGCAACTCGAATCAAATGAGAGTTTCCGAAAACAAGGGGTACCCGGGGTACCCTGATTTGGGGTCCGTATAAGGTATAAGCTACTATATTAGGGTCCCCTGTTCTCGCAAACTCCCTTAAACCTATTCCCTCCAAGGTCTGACCTGGAGGGACAAAGTGGAGAACAGGTCGGAAAGACCTCCTTGTCGTTGAGGGGAACGCGTTCTTCACCCGGCTCGCCTGCCTGGCTTCGCAGTACGGTAGCTTTAATACGGTTGATGATATAAATCCTGCATTGCGCATATAAGGAATATGCCAGTATTCCCATAGTTTAAGGTCCTTAAGGTAATGCAGGATTTATATCATCAACAGGTAGGACACGGAGCAACTTGCTGGGGCAGCGCCATAAGCCGATGCCCGCTGAATCGAAACGGGAGAGGTGTTGAAGCTTGACCAACGACATGGCGTGGATGTTGCCAGCTTGCAGTTTTGTTGAGTCACCCAAGTGCCCGGCAACAGAGGCACGAGACGAGGGCAGGGACAACAACCGCTAGCATCCTAAGATATGTTTGTATCTCAACCCCCTAAACCCTAAACCCTAAACCCAAACCCTGATCTTCGAATTTGCTCAAGATCTCAAGTTCCAGAATTCGGATGTTTCGATCGAGACTCTCGTTCTCCAGCCGGCGGTACGCATCCCCAGGGCTTCGTACAGAAGATGGTGGAAAGATTAGAATGAAGTTTGGCGAAGCTCGAATGCAGGGTTGAGGGCCTGACGCCTTAAGCTTAAGTCTCTTTTCGACCCCCGAAGGCTCTTCGAAACGAGCGCATTACAAACCCTAAACCCTATCACCGACCCTTAAGTTTTATCTACTGCCCCAAACTTCATCTCGGACAGAATCCAGACCTCGCCAATGAGGAAGCACGTGAGCTTCCACAAGTAAGAGTTGAACATTACGAGCCTAGGACCTGCCAAAATCTGGAGGAGCCAATTCGGCTGCAGGATGTGAGCTGCACTATGATTAGGGAGCTTGGGATCCCTGAACCCCACGCGCCAAACCCTCGACCGTCAACCCTAAGCCCTATGCCCTAAACCCTAAAATAAGCCCTGAGCCCTGCGCACTAAACCCTAAACCTCTAAACCCTAAACCCTAAACCCTAAACCTCTAAGTCCCTAAACCCTAAACCCTAAACCCTAAACCCTAAACCCTAAATCCCTAAAGCCTAAGCCCTAACAGGAAGCTTTGCTCGCGAGAGAAGCTCGGAAGCCTGGTGAACTACTGCACGTCCTCTGTGGGAAACCTCACGGAGGGGCTTTCTGGGTATGGGGGTTCCTTTAAGGGTTCCTTGAAGGGCTCCTTTAAGGGTTCCTTATAAGGGCTCCTTTAAGGGATCCTTTAAGGGGGTTTAGGGTTTTAGGGTTTAGGGTTTAGGGGTTTTTGGGTTAGGGGCTTGGCTTTCGGATTTAGAGACTGCTGGGTTTAGGGGTTTGAAGGTTTTGGGTTTTAAGGATTTGGGTTTAGGGTTACGGTTTGTGGTTTTAAGTAAGGCTGGCCTATGTTTAGGGTTTACGGGCTCCGGGCTTAAGGCCGCGATTCCAGATTTAGAAGCCTAAGTTTTGGGCAGTCGGGTTCAGGCATGTACCCAGAGAGCCCAATACCCCTTAAATTATGAGGGGATTCATATTATAATTTAGGGTATTTTCCTTAAGTAAAGGGGTATTGGGCTCCCTGGGTAGCCTCCAGGTTCAAGTGGCCTGTATTAGACCTACTTGAAGGCTCATGGGACTTAGTAAGTAAGGTTATAAGTAGGTTATAGTTAGGATACCCGGGGACTTATAACCCCAATTATAACCTACTTACTAAGTCCCATGATCCTCTAAGTGTGTACCGCGGCGGCCAAGAAGTCTGAAAGTCATGTGCTATAGGGGCGTTAAGAGTTAGGGTAGGGTTTTGGGGTCTGTTCTCTATAGTTATAATACGGAACCCCAAAAGGGCGTTAATAGTTACGGGTAGGGGTTTGGGGTCTATTATACTATAGAAAAAGTACGGAACCCCCCAAAAACCGCATTCCAACTATGAGGGCCCCTCTTTTTTGATGCTGCGGTAGCCCCGGAGGACCTAATCACACCGACTGGTTCAGGCAGTGCTGGATATTTTAAAGGGGAAAAGGAGGGACCCTTAATGGGGACCCCTAGGTAATATACCCTTAATATAGCCATTATATACCCATTATATAGCCCATTATAGGGTAGGGGTCCCCATTAAGGGTCCCTCCTTTTCCACTTTGAATATTGGTTCGCGGACAAACATCCTAGGATACCCAGTAACCTAAGAATAAAAAGGCCTCTCTTTTTGGTATTGGGTAACTTTATAAGGAACCTAGGACTACAAAATGGGAATAAGGGTACTACTCGGCAGCCTAGCATCTCATATTCTTCATACCCTCGGAACATCTTGAAGCCCCCTGGGTCCCAGGCGTTAGACCCTCGACCCTAAACCCTAAACCCTAAATCCTAAACCCTAAACCCTAAGCCCTAAACCCGAACCTCTGAACCAGGCTGGAGACTCCCGGCCCCTGACTGCGTGGCGGGGTCTCCACGTGTGCTCACGGAGCCGCTTGTCGGGAAGATAGACATGGGTGGTTGTCAAAATTATGGCCCCCTTTTGGGTACACTAAATAATAGGTGCCGTATTATAATAGGGACCCAAAAAGGGACCATAATTTTGACAACTACCCGCATGACTTCCCAGTTTAGGGGTTCAAGGTGTAGAGTTTAAGGTTTGGGGTTGCAGGCTTCGGGTTTCAGGTTTAGGGTTTAAGGTTTAGGGTGTAAGGATTAGGGTTTAAGGTTTAAGGTGTAGGGTTAACAGAGGCCATCTTGAGTCCAGTGTTTAAGCATCCCAGCTTCAGTATCCGAGGATTCTGGGCATGGTTCTTCAATCCTTTGGTTTCTGGCAAGTATTCTGCAAACGGACGTTAGCCTTTCGATCCCAACTCAGCGCTGCAACCTCAGCGAAAACTGCTTCGCTGCACACTAAGGCAGCCCAGGCTGCAACCAATAAACCCTAAACCCTGAGCCCCGCTATACAGAAATTCACGAACTCCCACGGCAACTCCGCCGAACCCGCCTCTCTACAGTTGCGCCTTCCGAAATGGGATAAGACGGGTACCTTCTTGGAGCGATGATGAAACTACTCATCAATCAAAAGCAGCTACCTCCAACGAAGCAACAACTCCAAATTCTAATTTAGTACCTTAACCCCAAGGAAACTACCTGTTAAGGACTTATATAAAGAAATCATGTTAGGGAACCCTGAAAAGGCAGGTTCCTTAGGTTCAGGTAAGACCCCAAACAATCACGGTCCAGCGAGGGCCTCTACACCGAAGCTCGCAAGGTACGGCCTGAACACATCATGGCCAGGCAGTGGGGAATGGGTTGCGGTTTCGACACAAATGGCGAAAGAGGGAGGAGCAGAGTGAAACAAAGAAACTATCTGGTAGTCGTAAATTGGAAGACAGGAAGAGGGTGACATTTCGACGGGTTGGCAAAGAGCCAATGGGCAGACAGATCCCAAGATAGCCAGACGGAAACAGACAAAGACGCACAGATGCCTGCAGGAAAACAAGTATCATGTACGGACAGACAGAGAAGCAGATTACTGAAGAACGATGCACACGGCATAGCTAGACCGCTGTGCGCAGTAGCCCTAGACGGTGAATGATGAGCATCGCTGAAAAAAGGACAGATGGATGTGAACTCACACATAGGGTGTGCACAGCTCTAGGTGGATGTAAACAGATGCAAGAAATGCTGGGACAGGTCGGAGTCTCAAACATGGACCGATTGCGAACCTCCTTGACTTAAGCAATCGTATGCCAATCGGAAAGCTACGAAATCTTGCTTCAATGTACTAGCCCGAGGCTCCTCGGTCTAGTACTTCACTGGGCGAGGGTCCAAGTGGGTCAAAAGCACGTCGCAGCCTCGAAGCACGAAGCTTCATATCCCAACCAACATCACAGGGTTTAGGTGTCAGACATATTAGTATGGCTAAAATCTGAAAATCAATGTCCCAACACCTCTAAAGCCCATAGAGTACCCTTCATGTTCTACCCCTTAAGAAGGCCCGTAAAGGAGGCTTTAAACGTAAACCCCTAAACCCCTCAACTTTTAACCAGGCCCCTTAAAGGAACCCCTGAAAGGAACCCCTTAGAGGATCTTAAGCCCTGCAGGCAATTGTTCCGAGAGATGCCCCAACTGTGCTGCCGGCTCAATGTGGAAGCCTAGGTGGGTGATAGCGGTGTCGAGCTCCTGCAAGACCTGAAGGTTAAGGGTTTACGACGTAAGATTTTCTTTTCCAGGTTTCGGGATGAAAATGTCTACATCTTATCGTTCATTCAGAGGCGACCTTCGCGAGAGATCGGAGGACTTTCTAAACCGTGCTATTTCTCCATTTCCCTGATCTGTCAAAAGGGTGGTTGTCAGAATTATGGTTCCTATTTGGGTACCCTAAATACTAGGTGCCGTACTAATATTAGGGACCCCGAAAGGGACCATATTTTTGACAACCACCCATACAGAACAATACACCGGGCCCCCGTCTTTGCTCCACTGACCTTCCATCGAACTGCGCCAAACCGTCGAATACCTTATTTTGGGGTCCTTATAGTAAGGATCCTACTATTGAGGCCACGACATTGGAGTCCCATATTTTCGGAAACTCTCATTACTTCTGCCGTATAAGATGTGGGAGCACGCTCGTTGAATTTTGACGCAACAGAGCTTTCTGCAGGGAGTCGCTCCTGGTGAAGACCTTGAGGGTGGGGAGAAGACACCAAGAAAAACGTGCGTGGGTTGGTGCGTTTGAGCCACGGAAACTGTCCCAATCCACCAATCACTCACCGATGCCCGTGACCGAAACAACTCCGAGCGCGTGGATCTTCAATTAAACAGAAGTGTTGAAAGCACACCCAGGAATGAGAAGAATATCTGAAAATCACAACTGCAAAGTGACTGAAAAACACTCCCCGCGCATGCAAGCTGCCTCGCCATCTTCCCGTGCGGCTGGATCGCGCTCTGGCGACCTGGGTTCTGCGTCTATCTCATGCCTACGGATGATCCGATTTTCTGGTACTCCCATACAAGTCTCGGCAACTGCTCATGGATTCATCCCTACATCAAACTGCAGCACTTTATCCGGAGCCTGCTGAAGCCTTTACCCAAATTGTTTAGGGTTAAGGGTTGAAGTTTTTTCATAGGGACCCTTCTGGGGATAGGGGTAGGGGGGAGGGGGCCTTGATACCTATAGTATGGACCTCATAAGGCCTATTCAGGGAAGTATAGTCCGCTACCCCCGTCCCCCCCAACCTCCTAAGGGTCCCTATGATTGATCCTAACACGACGCTTAGCCAGAGACTCCAACATCCTTAGTCAAGAAATATTCCTTTAAATCATGTTAGGGATCCTACTATGATTTAAGGAATCTTCCTTAACCAGGGGATATTGGAGTTTCTGGAGGCACAAGCCCTCAACTCTGGGCATGACCTCAAAAAATCAGTAATCAGATCGCCCATTATGGCCTCAAAGGTAGAGGCCCTGATTCGCCACCCAAATCCCTAAACTCCAAAATCCCTAAACCCCAATCCCCACACCACAAATTTTCCTGAGACGGTCGGTCGCCGGCTCCAGTTCGGCCACGAGCGCCGACCCTTCTGCACCGAGGAGGCCGTCCTGGCGAGGGCTTCCAGTTTACTTAGGGGATCATGGGACTTAGTAAGTAGGTTATAACTGGGGTGTAAGTCCCCTAAGTGGAGTTATCCTAACTATAACCTACTTATAACCTTGCTTACTAAGTCCCATGAGCCTTTAAGTAGGGGACGGTTTCGGGTGTAGGGATTTGGGTTTGGGGTAGGGCTCGGCAAAGAAGGCTTCAGGGTTTAGAGTTTAGGTGCAAGGCTTTAGAGTTTCCCATTTCAGGTTTTAGGAACCGGAGCTTAAGGGAGTTTTAGGGTTTTGGCTTAAAGGGTGTATGGCTGCATCGACTTCAAAAGCGGCTTCTACAGGGCTTATTAGCTTTGGCCCAGACTTTGGTCGGGATCGCGGGCTAGTCCAGAATGTGTCTGTCGACTACTGAGAATTTGGGAAGAGGGTTTTGGGACATATCATACGTTAACTGAAGTAATTTGATGGTTACGCAGGCTTCTTTATGTCAAGCACATGTTGACGATTGGAGGATCCTTTCCAGCGCATGCACAAGAAATCTTGTTCAGAACTTTGGGGCTTGCGATTTAGGGTTTATGGGTTCCAGAAAAGCAACGTTGACCACCAATTCCGCAAAATTTATCCGCCTCTGGTTTTGTGTCCCCCCTTCCACAACTGATCTGCGAGAAACATCTTGCATGAACTCTTCCACTGATGGAGAGCATGAAATGATTCCGAGTCCGAAATCCAAGACCCTCAACCTTAAGCGCAAAACCCGAAGCCCTGAAGCAAAGACCAATAATAAAAATCAGCAAAATCATCATCATATAACAATAATAGTAATAACAAAACTAATGTTCACAACCCTGAGGTCCTGAATGACTGTATTGACCTGCTGCCAGCGGTCCGATCTCGAGAAGGCAGCAATCTGCGCAGGACTTTGGGTGAATTGAGCCTACATAGACGGTGGGCGTTGTGTTGAGGGTTTAGGTTTAGGGTGTAGGGTCTAGGATAGGTTCAGGGTTTAGGATTACGGTGTGTGTCTTTGGCGGGGCATCTAGGAGTGGGCTCAGAGGGTCTCGAGTGGATTCAGCCAGGGATGTTCTAGGGCCCACCTTGACCCTAAGGAACCTGCCATTTTAGGGTTCCCTAATATGATTTCTTTATATAAGTCCTTGAAAAAGGCAGGTTACTTGGGGTTAAGGTATGGATTTAGGGAATTGATATGCTCTTCCACTCTCCTTGTCAGCGACATCCAATCGCAGAGTAAGGTCACCAAATTCAGTCAGGCACCAGCTGCTTGCAACCGCCAGCCCCAAACATTCGGCAGCCGGGCCACGGGAACTTCTGAAACTCCAACCAGCTCAAACCAAAGCAAGCTTACCCCCTCACTACCTTTGTGGCCTCCCCTTCCTAAGATGCAACGCCCCAGTCAAAGCGCGATGAAAGCCCAACCCAGGGAGAATTGCAAAACAGAGGGCTCAGGGCACCGATCCTCATCTACGGCTCGTCGCAAAACGCTGTCTTCGAAGCCTGCTGAGACCTGGGACAACGGTTGGGCGATCCCTAAACTCCTGTACTTAGAAGCTCATGGGACTTAGTAACTAAGGTTATGAGTAGGTAATAATTAGGATAACCCCACGTAGGGGACTTACAACCCCCGTTATAACCTACTTACTAAGTCCCATGATCCTCTAACTCAGGTTTACTCCAGGATTCCTTTTGTGTAGTGATTCCTTATTTGTCCGAGCGCAACTTGCTAGCGCTGAGCCTCCCGTTCAGACTTACACATTGAATGAGGCTTTGGCACTATCGGGATGGACTGTCGATTAAAGAACCCAGTTTCCCAGTTCATGCGCCAAGAAAAGCTCGAACCTTCAGTGTGATCGGTGGTTGGAAACCGTTCGAAAAACAACCTCCGGGTGCGCAGGTTTAGGGTTTCGGGTTCGCGGTTTAGGGTTTACCTGGACACTGAAGAACCTTTTCAGGGTTCCTCATTAGGGTTTCCTTGCATAAGTCCTTGAAAAAGGTAGGTTACTAAAGCAGGATTTAGGGATGAGACCTCCGACTTCGAATCGAGGCAGAGATTATGTGTTCCTGGGAAATCGTCCTTCGTCCCTCCCTGAGTCCGGGCAGACATCTAGCGTGCAAGGTTGGAGATCGCTCTCTTCATGCTGGATGCTCCGGAACAAAGAAATGATCATATAGGGACCTTAATAATTAGAATAGGGTTTTGGGGTCATTGTTCTACAGATATAATAAAGCGACTTTCAAAGTAGTATAGCTATTCTTATGGCCCCTAAAGTAATCCTTAAAGGTTCTGGCAGGAGGTCTCCTTCGAGACCCACACCACACAGAAGCCCTTTCCAGCCAACTTGCTGGCGATCTCCAGCGACGCGGCCTTCGGGATGGTCCCAGTTGGGGACCGGGGGAGGGGCCACGAGATTTTGGGTTTAGGGTTCAGGGATCTCATCATGAGGACCTCTAAAAGGAGGTAGGGTTTAGGTCTGCCTGGCGTGTCAGTGACCTACGGCGACAATGTGCCTGCGTGGTCTGTACAGCTACGTGTTGAGCTGTATGGTTTTGCTCGGATGATTTCAGATTCCATGCGGGACGAACCAGCACCTGCATCACTCAACTCCATTCCCAGTTTGTAGGAGCACAACCCTCAACCACCGCGTGGATATACTCTTTGTCTCGCAAACCTTTGAAGCACACGGCAAAAAAAAACACGTCTTTGCTGACAATCGCCTCCTGCACTGCACATTGCATAATGGAAGGCGCCTCTTGCGACAGCTGGCCGATAACCACATCTGCCTGACACTACCGCACATCAAACTTGTCCACGGGCCGGGGAGACTGAGATTCCAGGATGTTACCACAACCCAAAGCACCTTCCAAACTCCCACTTCCGAAAGCTTCTTCAGCAACGCCTCAGGTGGTGTGTCACTCTGGCATGAACCTCCCTCAACCCCAAAAGCCCGACCCTCAACCCCAAAAGCCCGACAACAAAGAAAAAAATAACAAGAGGCTGGTATGTACGCTTTCGGGTTACAGGGCTTCACCGGCTGTAAGGTGTGGGTCAAACCTAAACCCGAGACCCCTGCACCCTCAAGCCTAAAGCCCAAAAACTCTAAACCCTACCTTAACCCCATGTAACCTACCTTTCAAAGGACTTATACAAAGAAATCTTATCAGGGATCCCTAGGTTCTTTAGGGTCCAGGTAAACCTGAGCTTCAACCACCGCGACGAAGGAAGCTCTGGCCCCGAGCAGCATCACCCCAAGACCACTTAGAGGATCATGGGACTTAGTAAGTAGGTTATAACTGGGGTTATACGTCCCGGGTTATCCTAATTATAAACTACTTTTAACCTTACTCACAAAGTCCCATAAGCCTTCAAGCAGAAAGCCAGCCCGACACGTGTTTCAGGTTTAGGGTTCAGGGGTTTACGGGTTTAGGGTTTAAGGTTTTAGGGTTTGGGATTTAAGGGTTTAGGGCTTGAGGTTGCTGGGTGTAGGGCTTTTTAAAGCTTGGTACACTTCTCCATTTGCGCGTGTCAGGTTTCCGGGTGTTGTGGGCCTTGGGGCTTCGGGTTTTCAAATCCAGGTTTCTCAGATTTGGGTCTCCACCCCGTAGTTTGCATGTGTACTCTTGGGAAGTGCATCCAAGTCATCTCCTTTTAATTCGCATCTACATCTATTCAGTTACTGCGGTTCTTCTTATTCTAATCCTCCCCGATATTCAAGTCCACATCTCAAAGTTCTTTCTCCAACTAGCAACCCTAAACCTTGAACCCAAAGCCCCAAAGAGGCTTTGTAAGCCAGGAAAGCTCTCGCACCTCCTGGTCCAGGCTGGCAGACCTCGCCGTTTCTACAAAAGTCCGGGTTTTTTTACGGTTTGGGGTTTCTGGGTTTCGAATCTTGTTATTACGCCCGTTGCAATTTAAGGTGTAGTTCAGAGGTCTTGGGCATTCTGGGGGAGCTTCGAAGCATGACCGTTTGCGACGTCGAGGACTCTCCGGTAGCCCTGAATGTTTCTGGAGAAACGAAAAGATGCATGCGCAGCATAAAGTAGCCTTATGGGCGTTTCCGAAAATCGGGGACCCTAATTTAATGCCCTAAATAGCAGGATCCTTATTGCAAGGACCCCAAAATCAGATACCCCCTCATTTTCGGAAACTCCATTATCAAGGCCAGAGCACAGGCTTTCACAATCTCCGACTTCTGACCAATGCGGGAGTTTCCGAAAATTAGGTTAGCTTGTTGCGGGGTCCTTTTCATAAGCAATCTACTATTTAGGGTACCATATTAGGGTCCCCATTTTCGGAAATCCCCATGTGGGTAAACAGATACTGGAAAGGACAAGCATCGTAGTTTCTCGACGACCCCAATGTGATCAAGCATCTGCACAAAGTGCTCTGCTTCAATCCGGCATCATCCGGATCCCTACACCAGGTCACGTGTGCTAAACTGTCGACGGTGGGAGCTGAGGCTCAAATCGGCTTCAAGCATCCAGACCTGCGCAACTTCAAGTGACACCAGGCCGAAAGGTTAAAAGTGACGACAAATCAAAGCCGAAACCTTCAGCCCCATGTGTTCCCTCTAAATTCAGCTTGCAATCACGGGACATGGCGTGCTTGCAGAGCACACGCCGCTTGCTTCAAGTCCGGGCTTCCCCGTGGCAATGCTGTTCTTGTTTTGCTTTTGTGCTTTCGCTCTGGGTGTTGTATGGTTTTTTGGTAGGGTGCTGAGTCCGTGGTTGGGGCTAGCGTGCTTCACAGTGGAATGCGAGTCTTAAAACTGAGGACTGGGTATCCAATACGGGCATACCATGAAAGAAAGTTGCTAGACTGACACTTGGAGCCCTACCGTGACTGGAAGACTGCTGGAGCAGGACAGGAACCAACTCAACTTGAGAGCATGCCAAATGGTTTAGGGATTTGAGATCACGAGATTGCAGTTCTCTCCGCTTAGTGTCAAGACTTCCGTCGGCAAAATGACATGTTGGACACATCTTCAGCCCTATAGGCCTGTAAATCCAACACATGCGGGTGGTTGTCAAAATTATGGTACCCTTTTGGATCCCATATTTAGGGTACCCAAACAGGGACCCTAGTTCTGACAACCACCCATGCGGATCCTGTACCTTTTGAACAACTCGAGTGGACTCTCAGACACGATGACAGTTATGAGCTGTTGAACTATATGTAGTATTTTTGTATATGTAGTATATATAGTATACATAGTATATATGTACATATATACATATATATATATATATATAGATATGTATATATGTACATATATATATATATGTACATATCTATATATATATATATATATGTGTGTGTATATATATATATATACATATGCATATATATGTAGTGTGTCTAAATATATATATATATATATATATATATATATAGTATATGTCACAACTAAACCGCGGCTTGTTGTGAGAGTTTGCGGAAAACATGGTGTGCGATCTTCTTGAGCAAGTCATCGGGCACCACACCAACGAACGTCCCACATGCTGACAAGAGCTTTGGGCGCTTTGCACAGGAAACGATGTAGTGCAGGTGATGCTGTTCAGGCACCCTCTCAGATGGGGTAGCATGAACTTTTCTAGGTGCCTGTTGCTCTTTGTACTTTGGACTCAGAAGGACCTGAAGTAGAGCGATTTGCAATATAGACTCTTTCCCTCGACGTCGCAGAAAGGAAAAAAGACCCTGCACATTGAAGTTTGCAAACTCTCTGAGAACCATAAACCTTCAACCCGAAACCCTAAACCCTAAACCCCTAAAACCCCTAAACCCCTGAACCCCTAAACCCTAAACCCTAAAACCCTAAACCCCCCAAAACCCTGAACCCTCACCACGCAGACTTTTTCCAGCGTCCTCGGTGGGTTGCACTCCTGGCACCAGCCTCCACAAGGACTTCGCGGGAGAAGGACTACGGCAAGGAGGGGCCCAAAAGTCCCTCGGCTACTTAGAGGATCATGGGACTTAGTAAGAAACCCTAGGGTTCCTTTAAAGGGGCTCCTTTAAGGGATCTATTAAGGGTTCTATAAGGGGGAGTTTGGGCTACTTAGAGGATCATGGGACTTAGTAAGTAGGTTATAACTGGGGTTATAAGTCCCCTAAGTGGGGTTACCCTAATTATAACCTACTTATAACCTTACTTACTAAGTCCCATGAGGATTCAAGTATGGGGTTTCAGGGGTTTGGGTTTTGGGGGTTAGGGTTTTCGGGTTTAAGGTTTAGGGTTTTTGGGTTTTCGGGTTTAAGGTTTAGGGTTTGGGGGTTTAGGGGTTAGGGTTTAGGGTTTTGGGTTTAGGGTTTAGGGTTTGGGGGGTTTAGGGGTTTAGGGGTTTAGGGTTTAGGGGTGTAGGGTTTGGGCGTTGAGGGTTTAGGGTTTAGGATCTTGGGTCTACCAGATATACAAGATGCGGTGCAAGATTCTCTTGCGTTTCTACGCCATGCCAGGAGACAGGCCAACCTCGGATCCCAACGCGCTCAGTTCAGACATTCGGAGGATCTTCGATTGGGTTCCTTTGCACGCAGGCCTGCGGCTTCTCCTGAAACCCTATCTCAAACCCCACTGCAGCCAAATTCTCCCGACAGCCTCGTAGTCAGCAGACTCATGTGGTCAGCTGCGGAAGCATCTCAGAAAAGCTTCTCAAGCCTTCACCGTTAACATCCCAAAGTCTTGGTCCCAACAGGTCCGACAACACATGTGGATCAAACCTATACTGAACTTAGAACCCTAGCAAAATTGTAACTTTAATTAGAGTTTCAGGCGCTCTTTTCTGCATCTGATGCTAAAGTAGCACAGGCCGGGTGGGAGAGCGAAAAGCTACGAGATGCATGGTCACACCTTCAACTCTATGTTTGCAGAGTTTCAGGCGCTCTTTTCTGCATCTGATGCTAAAGTAGCACAGGTTAGGAAGCGGGTATTCCGCTAGAACTTTGCGGCCACCCCCACATAGTCCTGGCATATATCTTCCCAATCCGACCATGCATCAAGCGCCGTGAGCCGCGAGGTACCTCCAGGATGAAGGGGGAATGCTGAACTCGTGCCAACGTTCAGCTTTCTCCAAAGTAGCAGCAAATGCACCTGCCCATGCAAAAACATGCTGCTTCACATCATCTGGGAGGCGGGGAAGGAAGGTGAGTGCCGTCACCTCCTGAACGTAAATCTCCATGACCTTTGTTGTTATCCACCGTCCGCGTCTGCGTACGTAGTCTGGGTTTTCTGTAGCATCCATCAGCCAAGTAGCGCCACCAGCCCTTAGTGACCCCATGTCGAAATCCCTGACTTTTGGCACAATGCCCGGTCCCAGCCGCAATGCCAGCATCAGTTTTTGAAAGCGATTGCGGAGCGTGGAGCCTGAGAAGGACCAGAGCTTCTCAGATGGCTCCAGGGAACCAAAAGCCAGTGTGAGGACTCGTAGCAGCTGTGGTTGGTCAACACGCAGAGACTGGTGGCGCGCCGCTCTGAAGCGCGTCTTTGGCTCACGCACCGTCATCAGAAGGTGGCCCATGCCAACCGAGCCGACATCTGCAGGAAAAACCAAGTCAGACCGGACGGCAGCTAGTGCTTCTCCAACTCGAGCCAGGCCGCCCCAGCAGAGACTGAGGATTCCAGCCAGGTCGACCCAACCGTAGATCAGTGCAACAGCAACCGCCGCGGTGAGCACTTGCCATGGCATTGCGGTGTGGTGTACTGGCGGTTCGTCGCGCTGCCAACAGAAAGCAAGGTCCCAGGCCGGCTGCAGAAGTCTTCGAAGGGAGGGACAATGAGAGGAGAACATGTTGAGAGTCTCGGAGTAGCTGCTGTAGGTTTTGCCAGTCTTGTAAAGATGCTGCCCATAGCATATAAGCACCTCGTTGGCAAAATCTGGGTCGGCGCGAGACCTCATCAGAAACCACTCAAAGGACTGCCCGAAAGTAAGCAGCCACTTCCCAAAAAGCTCCTTCAACTTCTCTCGCCGCAGCTCAGTCGTCCTCTGGACAGGCCTGCCAGTCTTTAGCTCTTTTCCAGCCCGAGAAAGGAGGCGCGCAGCGTCACCCTTTGCAGCTCGCGAGGCATCCATGGCTGAAGCGCGGCCGAGGACAAAGAAGCCAAGACAAGTAGGAGATCGACCGAGCAGACCGACGACGAGGAAGAAGGAGGAGATCGAAAGCGCCGGAAAAGGGCAAAAGCAGGCCAGGGAAACCAAGGGAACTGTCGAAACCCTGCGTGCGGACAAAAGCCCTGAAGTCAAGGTGGGCATCGATGAGGCCAAGCCCACTGGCAGGCGCAAAAGCAAGGCTCGGGCGCAGAAGAAGGGCAAGTCGAACCCAGGAGGAGGCCCAGCGGCGAAGTCGAGGGCGACTGGCGTCCTGTTTCACCGCCTCAAAGCACCAAAAGTCTTGCCCTAACCCAATCACGGGCGGTGGTATTTCAGCATCTCGCGTAGGGTGGTCAGCTGGCATCAACCGGGTGGGTGTGTACATACTTCCCGGGTAGAGGCCAGCGGCGAGACAGATCATGGAAGCTCGTCTCGTAGCGTGGCGAAGGCTCGAAGACGAGGAGCGGCCCTTCCCAAGAGAGGAGAGGGCAACGAAGGAGTCGCAAAATGCGACAAAGCGGCAGGCACCATGGGTGATCGCAATCTCCTTGTAAAGCCGACAGAGCACAGAGCTTTCAAGGATATTGATATGGACCGGTCTAGGCCAGGTCCAAACAGAATCGACCTTCCAACGCAATCCCAGGGCGAGGTCGTTCACAGCTTGCCGTTCCAGGCCTGCAACATCAAGATCAGCGTCCCGGGTGCACGACGCGAGGGAGCGAAGGGCATCCCTGAAAACACGGCCGTGAGCAACGGTCAAGCCAGCGCAGTGCCGAAATCCAAGGGAGGAGGAGCCCGAATTTGGAGGGCATGCCGAAGACACCCAGGGCAATCCTTACGGGGTGAGCCGCAGTCAAGTCCGAAGGCCAGGCAGGAGAGACTCCGAAGACGGGTATCGCCGAAAGCACAAGCGGACAAATCGACCTGCTCGGCCTTGAAACGAGCCAATACGTCTTGCCAAACCCGGGAACCAACAGGGGCGGCTTCACGAGGCAGCTCCAGAAGGGCACAGATCCCACGTCGGCAGGCATGGCGGAAGAGGAGAATGCAAAGGCGAAGCGCTTCCTCTTCGTGCAAGTGGGCAGGGACACCACGTCGGGTAGTCTTGGTCTCCGGGTGAGCGCCAAGAACCGAAGGGAGGCCACAGGAGCAGGGCGGCACGAGGTATAGGCCGAGCAGGCGGCCGGCATCAACAAGGTGCATTGCCCACTCGAGAACGACGAGGCGAGGGAGACCACAGTCTGAAGACAGCCGCAGATCGATAAAAGGGCCGACCGCGTAACCAAGCCGGGAAAGCTCACCAGAGAGGGCAGGCGGCCCTAAAGACAACTCAAGGAAGTCGAAGTGGTACGCCAGGGGCCTCGGAGCATGCAGCAGGGCCTCGGCAGGCTCCTCAGAGGGATCATGACCAACGTCCTCGTGCAGCGGGTCGCTTCTATGAAGTATGCAAGCAGCCTTGGAAGCAAGCCGAGCGTAGGCCCCCTTGCGATCCGAGCATAACCAAAGGCTCTCAGACAATTCCCTAGGGATCGCAGCCGAAACGTATGCACCCTTATGCTCTGAGGAGTCAGTAGCATAGAGCCGGTCGACATACGGAGCCGACACATCCGTGACAGCAAGAGGGGCAATCAGGGAAATGAGCTGCAGCTCCATAGCGACGCGCCTCGGCAGCGGCACGGTCTTGGGAGAGCTTGGCTCCAAAGAGCTCGCCGGGAAAAGGCTGTACGCATGCTGGAAGCATGCGACGGCAGGCCTTCGAAACAAAGCCACAGAGGTCCAGGCTCCCATCAGGCACGAGTGGAGACAATCACTAGTCGCAGGGAAAGTGCTCAGCTCCAAGGTCAGCTCGGAGAGCGCCAGCCTCTTTGAGGCAGGGGCGGACACAAGAATGTGTCCCCGCGACGCGGCTGCAGGCGTAGAGTTTATCTCGGCCCCGGCTGCTTTTCCCAGCAGCTCGTCACGAAGGTCCTTCTCGGGTGAGCCTATCAGCTCGGAATGCGCATAGCAATTCAGGGCGCGGTCTAAGGCACCGCTGGAGGCAGAAGGCTCACCAAGAAGCAGGCTGCGCCGCCCGGTCCTCGCAACACAGAAGTAATCATCGATCACCAAAGCGTCCCAAACGGGGCCGGGGCCAACCGGGTGGCCTCCCAGCAGCCTGGTCTCATCACGCAAAAGCCCAGCCCCAATGAGGAGCTGCTGGTGTCCAGCGACAGCTAGCTCAACCCCTATATGGTCACCCTGAAGGACCGCTCGAAAGCACGGCTGTACTAAGGAGGGCCAAGAACCCAAAGGGGGAGCATTGGCAGGGGTGAGGCCAGGGCTCGAGGTGTAGGAAGGCAGGCACCTAGCACAAAGGCGATCGTATGCAGGAGTTCCTCGGAAGACCTCGGGCCTGAAAGCAGGATACAACCGATTGGTGACGCATCTGGCCCAAGGTACGCCAATCTGATGGTAAAAATCTCGGCGATCCGAAACAGAGAGGCACAAGGCCTCAGTCCTAGCGTCAGCGCTCAGGGCGCAAAGGACATCGGCCGTGGGCAAGAAGCGCGAGGGCCCTGGCAGTCTGGCCTCAACGGCATTGCGGCCTCTTCGATCTCCAATTTGTCGATCAACCTCAAGGTTTTTATAGGCGTTAAAAACCCGGGTGAATTCGTAGGCTGGCAGCTTAGCTGCAGGCTCCAAGTGCAGCAAGTCGAGCGAAGCCCATTTCAGAGCGAGAGACCGCGTCTCGGGGACCGACTCTCGGTCGGGAAGAGGGTACTCCTCCGGGGCAGGCACCCGTCCGCTCAGCAAAGAAGAAGGCAGAGCGAAGGCCATGGCAAGCTCGGGCGGGAGGAGGTCACCAGGGTCCCAGTTGGCACGGCCGGCCAAACGAAGCCGGCTAGCACAAAGGGAGCGGTAAGGCTCGAGGTCCGGAGAGTCGTTGACTTGAGGAACCTCGATGCCAGCAGGCACGCGTGCATAGGGGTCCCCAAGAGGACCCAGCATCGAAAGCCTCTGAGAGACCTCCGAGAGGCGAGCGAGAAGCGAATTCATCCGACGACCCGTCTCGGCAGGGAAAATCCCGTCCTCGACGTCACCGAAAGTCTGAACCAATCCCCTCAGATAGCGAAGGCAGCGAACCTGGGCAGGATTAGGCGGCCGGGCAAGAAGCCGTAGCGGGACGTATTTGCAGTCATTGTGAACAAAGTTGACAGCAACCACCACAGCATGAAGTGCAACCTGGCACGCAACCTTTTGCCTGCGACGCTGGCCAGCATGGCCCAAAGGCTGGAAGGCACCTGGGCAAGGAATCGGCAAAGGTAAAAAGACAGAGGCTGGGGCCGGCTGGCCGCACCAGCGCAGATGCAGAGTTCTCTTGAAAAAAGCCGAGAAAGCCGTCTTGCCGGCTAACAGGCGGGGTGCCAAGGAGAAAGCCCAACGTCTAAAGGACAGGGCAGCAGAAGAAGAAAAAGAGGCACATTGTGATTGCTGCCCGGCTGGGCTGCCGATTGCATCCGGAGGTGGCGGAGCCACGGAAGAGGGCACGACAGAAGCAGCAGGGCAAGGGCCCGACGGGGAAGCCTGCGGAGACAAAGGGCAGGGCACATCCGAAGGGGTTCGTGGTGCTCGTGAAAGCCCGAAGGCGGCTCGCAGCCCCCTGTGTTCGGGAGGTGTAGACCTGGGGCGCCGGTTCCTCCAGCAGGCAAAGTAAGTAGGCCAGGGACCAGTTGCGATCCTGGGCCGCCTGCTCGGTAGATGCCAAGAGAAGCCCCAAGTGCTCGCGAGCACCATGCACGTCGTCCTGCACAAGGCAGTCTGCGATGAACGCCAACTGATGCATGACGAGGGCCAGGTCGCGGCACTGGCCGTAGCCACCAAACCTTTCCATATATGTCACGAAGCTGAGCTTGCCATCTGCCTTCATCTCTAAGGTCGCCGGCACTGTGGTGGCGGGGTAAAGCCGACGATAGGCATTCTGGCACACTTGAAGGTAAAACGAGCCGGTGCGGGTCATGAGCTCCTGCTGGAGCTTCTCGCGCTTCGCCGAGCCCTTTGTGCTCAGTCCTGCTGTGGCCGCGTTCAGGTCGAGAGCCTCGCCTTGCGAGGCGAGATGCGACACTAGGAGACTCAAGGCCTGACCCTGCTGAGCAATAGCTGTGGCTAGCTGATCCGAGGAGGCTGGCAAGGCAGAGGACTTTGGCGCAGCGGCCGGTGCAGGAGCGGCGGGCGCAGGCGCCGCTTTCGGAGCCAACCCCAAGCGGGCAGGAGGAGGCAGGGCAGCGGCCAGACCTGCAAGTGGGGCAGGCTGAGGATAGGCGTGGGGCCGAGCTGTGGAAAGTTCTGCTGATGCGGTGGAGCAGCCGGCGGCTGCGGAGCCGAAGCCTGAGCCGCCTGTCGCTCCGACACGAGCCTCACCTGCTCGACAAGACCGGGCAGCACAGAAGCAAGTTGGTTCACCTGTTCGGCCAGCTGTGCCGTGGTGACGCGTTTGGCACGTGCAGCCCTCTTCGGCTGGGCATCCTCGTGGCCCTCCGAGCCCTCTTGGGCGGTAACATAAGCGAGGCCTGGGGCTTGATCTCCACTCACCCAATCGACAGCGGCTTTCATGAGATCTTCTGGCGCCGGCATCACGTGAGGGGCGGCAGGCTCGAAACCAACCACCAGCCCCGGCTCTGTGACAGGATCGAAAGGGCCCATAAAGGAAAGGAGGGACTCGTCCAAGTCCAGCAGGATCACTTGTATGTCGTAGCCTGCTGCCACATCCTCCCCAAGATCTCCCTCTTCCACTGCCGGCACAGACACCACGACGGAAGGGCCGAAGACCGATAGGGCCTCGCCCGTCGAGAGACTCTGGACATCCTCCAGGAGCACAAGAGGCAGCGCAGCAAGGAAAGCGCCAGGCCTGCGAAGCAAGGGTAAGAGCAAGTGAAGGGCACGGTCCGGCACGTCGGGCACGGGAGGCCACTTTATAGTGCAGAGTGTACCTGCGCTTTCCCCATCTACCTTTAAAGCCTCTGCGTTCATTCCTCAGCAAGCGAGGGGAAGGAATGACAAACGGTGTCAGTACCCTCCAGTGGGCCCACCGCGGCTCGAAGGGCACGGAAGGTTGCAAAGCGGGCAGGGCGGTCAAGCCTCTCGCTCCGCAAGACAATGTAGACAGTAGGCCGCAAGCTAAGCACAGGATCAGGAGTGGCCACGGTGCCCTCCAAAACCTCCTTGGCCCACAGTCCAGCAGTCCAGGCCCGGCGGGCACGGTCGGCGGCAGTGAAGTGGTTCGCAGGAGCAAGCCTCTCACAAAGTTCCAAGCAGTGAGGAGGGCAAGCAGGGAAGCGAGCACGGATGTCAGAACGCCTCTCAGGGCTAGGCAAACCAGGACCACCAACCCTAAGGAGACTCAGGCCTCTCTGCCTGATTTTCCACAGACAGACGGAGCCTCTCAAGGGCCCCTTGCACCTCAGCGATGGTCCGGGCCAGGTCGTCGCCCATGCAAAGCGTAAGCCCGGAGACGTAAGTCGGGAGGAGGCCTCAGCACAGGAGACGGTGAGGGCGGTTCAGGAGTCCAGGGAGCAGAAGGCCGCAAAAGAAATCCACGGAGGAGGAAAAGGGTGGTGAGGGCCCCGGCGCAGAAGCCTCCAAAGGCCAAAGAGACGGAGAAACTCAGTGACCCCGCACAATGGCCAGGACAGGCCAATCCGAACCAGCCGCTCGAGGACCCTTGGAGAAGGAAAGAGAAGACCGACGACGCAACCTCTCCAAAAAGCATAGAGCGAAAAGCTACGAGATGCATGGTCACACCTTCAACTCTATGTTTGCAGGGATTATGATAACCAAAAATTAGAAATTATTTCTAAGTACCCCTAAGAAACTATAAAACACCCGAGAAAAAGCCTTTCCGAGATGCCCCCACAGAGTTCCCCGGTGCCCTGGGGGTTTCCTGGACTGGGGCCAGAGTTGTTGGATGCGAAGTGTCCGGGTTTACCCTTTTACGGTTTGGGCTTTAAGCCTTTGGAGCAAAATAGCCGAGGGTTACGATCATGCTGCCCATGTTCTTCTACTATAATACATAAAGATATAAAAATACCTCTTCAATACTCTAGCCTCCGGCTAGCAGGTGGCTAGCAGTCAGGAAGCTTCGATCGCGCCATTTCAGAAGCTTTGAGGATAGCAGCGTTTTGAGGGAGCTCTGGCAGAGCAACTAAGGCGCCTTAATACTTAGAATAAGGTTTGGGGGGTATATTACACGAAAGGAGCCCCCCAAAAATGAACCCCAGGATTCGTTTCGAGCTCGGTGGCCAGGACTCCTGGAGCTTTTCACTTGGGTTCTACGGTTTGGGGGTTTAAGGGTTGAGGTTTTAGTTGAACTTCTGTCCCAAGAAAATGGGAAACCCCTAAACCTAACATGTGACTAAGAAGTTCGTAGAACCAGGATACAATTAGATAAGGTGTTGCGGCTTCTAAAAGGTTTGGAGACTGTGTTTCGCATACTGCAGGGTGCAACACTTGCCCCACATTCTGCCAGAAGCAAGAGGCACTGGCCAGGAATAGGTTCGTCATCCGCTGGACAGCTGCATGTGAGACAGCACGAGAAAACGATCTGCGATGGCGGACATTCTAGGCAAAGAATGCCACAGTTCCAGAGCATGTCTAACACAATCTCCCAAGATGTAAATCCTTCTTCTTGAACTGAACAAATCCAAAACGAAGCCCAACAACCCAGACTTTGTAGCTATCGCTGCTTCTGTGACTAAGATGATCACCAGTTTCTTCCGAGTAAACTCAGGAATGGTTCACTGAAGGCTGAAGCGTCCGGGCGCGCCCAGTGCCCACGGGATCACTTCATGTTCTTGATGGCTTCCCCGAGACCCCTCCGGCACGGTGCAGGGTTTGTGTGGGTGTCGGTTGTGGCCTCTACTGTATGCGGGACAAAGCTGCAAATGCGAGATCTAGGCGTCAAGAGAAAACGAGAGAGACTTCCCCTGCTGGAGACAATGCCAGAATCACAATTCCACAAAAGCCCCGGCCCTTCCAAAACTGCTGTCAGTCATCTTCGTCACCCTTCCAGAAACCCCGACGAGGTGTTCGAGTAAACATCCGCTCTCCAGAACCTGAAACTCGGAACCCACAGAGCCCAACACCCCTTAATTGACGAGTATACCCTGAATCATAATCTTAAACCCCTTGCATCTCTGGGAACTGGCCCGCCTGAAGTACTCATGCTCCATTGCTGCCTTGCCCGATATCCTTCTGTCGGGCCAGTACTGGAGGAATTTCTGGCGCGACGAGTGGCGTTGGGTGCTTAATGTAGAGGTCTTAATAATTAGAATAGGGCCCCAAAATAGGAAAGGTACTTATTAAGGCCCCTATAATAGAGCAACCCAAGCAAAGCTGCAACGCCTCACTTCCAATCACCCTGAAAATCTCGCAGAACCTCCTGCCCCAACACCTTCGAACCTTAATCGCCGGGACGGGGTTGAAGGGCCGTCTTCAATTTCAGGAATGTTGAATCCTTCACAAGTGTGGCATTCTTACAGCATGTGCCACAAAATGCCAGTGTCAACAAACTACTCACACAGGTATTGCTTTGGAAGCAGACAGTACCAACATCATGGACCCTAAACCGTAATCCGGACCTAGCGGCGGCGACAGCGCCCAATATCCCTCAACTACAGAATATACCTATTAAAGCTTTCCTGAGTTCAGGGCTTTTGGGAGCTCTCTTGGAACTAGCACTTCGGACTGAAGGCTCACGCTGCAGCCCAAAGTAGGAGTGGGGCTGCAAGGATTGGCGTTTAGGGTTTTAGGGCCTGGGTATTAGGTGGTCAATGCCCTGAAGCCAGCCGGGTTCGCCGACATCAAATCCGTGCCTTCCGCCTGGGAGCAGCATTCAAACAGTCTCTGGGTCCGTCTCTACATGCTTTGTGATGTCAACAACGACGGTAGGCACCCCCGTGCACTGTAACCAACGCAAAGGCGTTGCGCATGCGAAGGATGCATGGATGCATGCATGCATGCATGCATGAATGCATGCGTGCGTGCGCGCGTGCGTGCGTGCATCATGTATGGATATGTGGATGGATGAACTCAACGCATGAATGTAACTATGTATGCGACATTACGGATGCGCGGATGCACTTGAAACAGGATGTCCAGTTACATATGCACATGTGTATATACATGTACACGCATTCATACATACACATGCATTGATATGATGCGTGCATATATAGATGTGTACATGTATGTTGGCATGTACGTGTACGTGTACGTATACGTGTTCGTGTACGTGTAGGTGCGGCTGTATGTGTACGTGTATGTGCAAGTAAAAATGTAAGGGTAAGGGCAAGGGTAAGGTAACGGGAAGTGCAAGGGTAAGTGTAAGTGGAACTAAACATTAAAGTCTACGTGTAAGTCTATGTCTACGAATATGCCCATCATTTTTGAGTTAGCGTCTGTGTGCGTGTATCTGTTTTTGCATTTGTATTGTGTGAGTGTACCTTGTTCTGTGTCCTTGATCATACATACCAACTGGGGACCCTTTTGATTCGCTCTTGCGCGTCCGTTCCTTTTCATACAGCACTACATGCACGAGTGCCTGCCGGCATGTACGAATGCAGATACATAAGTGCATGTCTTCGGGTAAATGTGTGCATGCATCCCATAGAGAAAATACTCAATTCTTGCCTGTCTTTCTTTTCTCTATCTTGTGCGTACTAATATCGAAACAGTTTGCACTTTCTGAGTATGCGACTTTCTGCCCCGTCGGGCTTAACTTGAGTTAAGATACATGGCCTCAACTCAACAGTTGGGACTTGAAGTGCAGGCATTCGCGTAATTTTAAAATAACCACATGCCACGATTCAGAGTGTACATAACTTGACGACCCCGACAGCTGTGGAAGGTATACCACGAAAAAGGACGCGAATGCGCAATACCGCTCAACTCTCTGAACAACAAGATCCAAAACTTGCGTCGTTGCAGTATACAACTGCCTGGTTCGTTTCATCACTGGTTTTAAACATCTCGCTGCAATAGGTGTATCTTCTCGGAGAACAAAGCCACACTACAAGTGATACACCTTAGGGCCTGGATACACATTGTTGTAACTGCTGGTGCTGACAGTGACTTGTTCAAGATACTACACAGCCTGCACCCTGTTGGAGGCACTGCTATCCTCTGCACAAGCCAAGAATTTTATTTCGAACAAGCGGCTTATCTTGCCGCTCACTCTCTGATGCGCTACAATCCACAACACTACTATGCGCATGGTCGAGGCGATTTGGGCAAGAGACCTGACTTGTCCTTCCAGTTTTGCCAGTGGCCAAAGGCCAACAGCAAGCAATGCCAGCAATACTGATGTATTTGAGTAGAAAGGTGCTTTAAAGAGAAAGGCAACATTGCTACTGCTGCCTCAGTGGATCGTCGCAATGGACGAATGACAACATCACATCCAATAAGGAAAAAAAGCACCGCTTTGGTATGAAAAATGCCACTTTTATTTGTTCTGGATTCTTGGCAATACGCTTCGGCAGCACAGGGAGAAACAGTCTTCGAAAGCGAGTCAAGGTGGTCGCAGTGCATGCATCTCGCCACGAAACTGATGCCGAGATTTTTACTTAGAATAGTTCGATCTGTTTGATAGTTTTCACGCCGAGGTTACAATCCCCTGAGTTCAAAAAAGGCAGCAGGGTTGCAGCGGGATGGCCGGAAAAGGAACCTAAACCGACCCATGTGCAACTCTTCCTAGCACAATCCAGAAGTCCTTTGTCTCGAGAAAACTATGCAAGTCTTGACTCGGGCCCCAGCATCAAGGTTTGGCGCAATGCTCTTCCACGCCTGAGGCTCGAACCTGGCACCCATTCGGGCATTGGGCTTCGATGGGGCTGTTCCTCCCTATGCCTTGTGCAGCAAGTGGATGTATTGGCACAAGGAATCATTGCCTTTTTGAAAACCAAAGGCATGTTATGAGGGGCATGGTATTGCAGCTACACAAGGACAACAGAGCTCATCTGACCATGCGATACTGCTCTTGACTGCGAAGAACCCACATGTAAGCAATCACAAACGGGCTCAGGCTGGCTGCTGAAAGTCAGGCTTCCAGTCCGGAAGCTCTGTGATTGTCGGCCAAGTAGACTCCGACGGAGTACCAAGGATCTGGCAGCTTGGGGTGATCTAGGGCACTTCTACGGCTTCAGGTTCAGCAATCAAGATCCAAGCACACGCCTTGCTTTCAACATCGCGGCACTGTCCAAAACCCGCTTGAAACTGCAAGCCGGAAACCAGCTCAACTCGCAAGCATGCTAAAATGCAAACCCCCAAACCCCCAAACCTCTAAATCCAGAACCCCTAAACCCTTCAGACAAGCCTTGACCAGAACAAAGTGTATGAGGCCTTAAAGATCTTCTGAAGCTGGTTCGCGTCTGTGTCGCCAGGAAACAGAGGGCGACCATTGACCATTTCTGGCAGTGCTTTTTGCTTTTTGACGGAAGGAATGCTTTAAAGCTACTTGCCTTCCATCTCCAACAATTTACATTAATGGATGGCTCCCGCCATGGATTTGGATGCAGTCTCCTCAAGAACTTGCTGAAGTCTACTTCGCTTTGCATAGCTTCCTAACGCAAAAAACACCTGGGCCACATTGCCGCACCCAAAATTTGCAACTCAAGACTCAACCCGAGCCCGAAGCCGACATCATGTGCAGTCGGCATCCCAAGGAAAGTTCCGCCTGCGAAGATGCAGCCGACGGACCAAATGTCTACAGGTGTCGAATACCTCAGCCCACATTTGGCTCAGTGCTTTCTTGCATGGCTCAGATGAGTGGCTCCAAATTCCCTTAATAACTAGAATAGGGTTTTGGCGCCCATTATACTATAACTATAAGAAGGAACCACCCAAATGGTACATGTAATTATTCGGGTCCCTCTATTACAAACCCGGCTCTCGTCAGAGGAACCGTTCGAAGCAGCCTTCACACATTCCCAACTCGTGGCTTTCGGAGCGTTTGGGCTTTAGGGTGTAGGGTTGAGGGTTCAGATTTTAAGGTTTATAGGGTTTAGGGATCCTGCTTCTGAGGCTGAGGTCGAAGCTTGCGAGAACCCATCAGCACATCAGGCGCTCGGTACCACAAAGTCACAACCTGCCACTGCAGATAGTGCGTGGTTGTTTCAATCGTTTTGGGCATGCACTGATGGCTTAGGATCTTGATCCACAGAAACATGTCGGCTACAACTGTGCATGACAAAGTCCTTTCGCTCAAACGCCACACCACATGCAGTCAAACCAGAACCACAATACCCGCCAACCCCTGGCCGGCCTCGTGCGTGTAGCTCCTTGGCTGCTTTGGTGCTTTTGCTATGCAGTCCATCATCATGCTTCATCTGCGATGGAGTAAACCAGAACTAATCTGCTCAACTCGGCTCTTACATACGGTCATGTCTCTCGAACAGGACAACACACAACAGAAGTAGACAGAGTTGCTGCCTCTGCTGAGCCAGCAACATGTGTTGCTCCCTTGCAAAACTTTCGGCTCTGCAGCAAAGCGTCCGCACAGGGATGCCGAAAGCGCGAGCTAAACCAAAGTCGGCTAACTTGAGCGAGCCTTCCTCGGCAAAGCACACAGCGGAAACAGTCAAAGGATACCAATTCTCTGGTCAGACAGATCCTGAGGGCGAAGCCCTATTGATCAGTAAGTTCTGGGGTTTCAGATCCCGGTGCAGGACCCGATGCGCATGGCAATACCTTGGATGGCAGCACTGGCCGAAGCTGCCTCAATGCAAGCAAGCTTGTGTACTCTGGAATCTGCTGGCTGCTTGCATTGGGAAAAGGGATCACGGCGGCTGCGAGGCAAGTGCTGACAAAACAACTGCCATGACGAAGCCAACAGCACTCGTAGTGAAAAAGAGTCTGTGTATGCTGTTAAACAGAAAAAGAAGCTACTTGTTCAGTGCCGAGTTGCGCAATACCTCGTAGAAGCTGGTACAGGAATGACTGGCCAGGCAGGGAGTTTGATGTAGACACAGCGGACAACATGCTCTGCACAGGTTTCGGCTAGCTTCAACCGCTGTCCACTCTCACAAAATCGAAGTGTCATTCGAGCACACGATCCTGGCACCGGTGAACACAAGAATCAATAAGCCAGTCCAAACTGCAGCACTAAACCCCAAACCCCAAAGCCTAACCCTGCGACCAACAAAAAATCCAGCCTTGGTGGTTGCAGGGTCCAAGCCACCGTCGCACATGTCCAGCAACTTCTTGAGGTCTTGATCTAAATACTCAAACCTCAGCAACAAGTTCACGGCTGAGGGCGTTGAGGATAAACATACTCAAACCTCAGCAACTCATTTGCTGCGGGGTCCAGCACAACAAGAAAGCTGGAAAGGAAAATGGCATCCCTGAGCATCGGGCACCAGCGTCAACTTTCGTTCCGTGTGAATCACGTCACAAAGCCTTTCAATGGAAGAGTCGCAAACCTAGTTTTTGTCTCCAGCAAACACAAGAGCACACTCACAAGAAAAGGCCTGACAATGTTGGGGTGCTGTAGCTCTTTCAGAAGCGAGATCTCCCTTATGGCCTCGGTTCCAAACACGAACCAACGCAGCACCCAGACCACACACACACACACACACAAACACAAATGCCTCTTCTCGAGGACGTCCACGATGCACACTGCTGACGACACATGGCTGATAATGTCATCAACACCCACCAAAGAGGGGTATCATGCCTCCGGCATGATCGTCCAGAAGTCTGCACCCTTTGCTGAAGCCCGGGCAGTGCTCGGGATGCCCTCATCCTCTGCCTGATGCAATCATCACACACCAAGATCCACTTGCAAAGAGTCACCTTTCGCTGCTTCGCTGACAGTCGCTTCGTGCATTGTTTCGCGCTCGTCGGATGCCTTGCTCCAAAGCTACATCTACATGCATACTGGCATTCCAATGCATCTAATTCGTGGCAAGCGTCTGGAACAGCTTTAAACAACTAAAAAACAACTCAGCATCGCCGGCCACTCAACACGATGCAGGTCCAACTTCTGGCCCACGGCAGCCGAGGCGGCGCCTGACAAACACCAACAAACAAACACCAAGTAAACAGACCACACACACTCTCTCAATAGGAACAAGATTGGACTTGCTCTGCACCGACCTGCGTGAAACCGGCATTGTGACATCCAGGATCGTGTCCTTACAAGGCAAGTTGTGCAGTGTAAGGAACTCGAAATCAAATATTCAGGGAACAAAACACAATGTGGTGAGGCGAGCATCCACATCCAACACCCGAATCATCGAACTCCGACGTTGTGATGAAGATGTGTCGGCACCCTCCTGCGGTTTGGACGTAACCTGACGCTGATCTGCACAAATCTTCGCCAAATACATACGAACGAATAAACCCACCAAAAAATTCTATCATCACCCACTAAAAGCCGAACTGCCAAGCAACCGTGGCTGATGCGACAGTGCCATCTTGTGCTCGAGGTTGCCGAAATGGTCGGACAGGAGTGGGCAATTCACAAACAGCATCTCCTGTCACCTTGCATGTGGTGGGCATCGAATGAAACGATTCTACATTCTAGTGCATTGACGTTTCGATGTGCAAAGCCAACACAAATACATGCCAAATCACTTCGCGCCCACAGAGCCACTTTGGCGGAGGACACGATGTATGCGAAAAGGCCACCAATGTCATTGGGTTCCTTTTCCCCACGGCAATTTCAAACGCCACCTGCCGGCGCTAACAACACTACCAAGCTCTGAGGCTTCCAATTTTGTGTTGATGATTCGAACCCGCAAGAAAGACATGCAGCAATCCTATCGCCCGAAGATGGCCTCATCGTCGAAAAGGCCGACACCCAGCCGTTGTAACCTGCATCGCGTGATTGGTTGCTGCATGCTTGTCTGTCTTTGACAACTCCAATGATGATCAATGATGCCGATCAGGAGGGGTGCCAAAAAAATGCGGAAAAGACAATATCTTGTTGGGGTCTCGTTGCCAACGTACGGGGTCCCGGGGCAGCAGCAAACTACAGAAATTGCCTCCAGAAGTACCGAAACAAAAATTCAACCAATAAAATTTGGTTTCCGCACGCTTGAATTGTTAGCAATAGCCATATATAAATAGGGCGCAGTGGCAGCAAACACAGTGGTAGGCAAGCTGCAGCAGAATATTCCTTAGCTTTGCGGGTAGGAGCAATACCAGCAGCAAGCGGAGCAGCGGCAGTAAGTAGTGGTAGTGGTGTAGTGGTGCAGTGGTGCAGTGGTGCAGTGGTGCAGTGGTGGCGTGGTGGCGTGGTGGCGTGGTGTCGTGGTGTCGTGGTGTCGTGGTGTCGTGGTGTCGTGGTGTCGTGGTGTCGTGGTGTCGTGGTGTCGTGGTGTCGTGGTGTCGTGGTGTCGTGGTGTCGTGGTGCCGTGGTGCCGTGGTGCCGTGGTGTCTGGTATAATAGTGGTATAATAATTGTTTTTTTTATAGTTGTGTTTTATAGTGGTATAATAGTGGTATAATAGTATAATAGTGGTATAATAGTGGTAAAATAGTGGTATAGTGGTGGTATAGTAGTGGTATAGTGGTGGTAGTAGTAGTAGTAGTAGTAGTAGTAGTAGTAGTAGTAGTAGTAGTAGTAGTATTAGCAGTATTAGCAGTAGTAGTAGTAGTAGTAGTAGTAGTAGTAGTTGTAGTAGTAGTAGTAGTAGTAGTAGTAGTAGTAGTAGTAGTAGTAGTAGTAGTAGAAGCGTCTCGGCTCAGAGACCAGATGGCGGCCGAAGACAGGCTGTCGCCGTGGCAAAGGGCTGGTTGGGTGTTTTGTTTGTTCTCGGTTTCGATTTTGGGATCGGTTTTTCACGACGAGTGCGGGGATTTTTGCACGTGGGTTGCTGTGGTGTGTTGCGTGCACTTCAGCATAGATAGCCTACGCCTGCAAGCATGGCAGCTGTTGGCATGGAGCTCTGCCCGACCCATGGGTCTAACAAGATCCCCAGACGTGCAGTGTGGTGGTTTCAACAGGACGTGCTGGAGAAACGTATTTTTGATCTCAGCATCTGCATGGCTGTCCGGGGCTTGTCTGTTTCGACCAGGCAGGGGATTCAGAATGCATTTGGATCAGCCTGGCAAAAGCAGGGCTCATACACAGTCTGGCAAGAAGTCTGGGATTGGGTTCCTCCAGCTTGGCGACCACAACTCATTGAGGACACTTTCCGAGTTGACTCAGAGTTTGCACGCAGTGTGCTTGCTGGGGCCTATGCGTCCACTCTGGCTGTGGTGCGGGATTTGGAACAGATGGATTGATCTTGATTTTCAGCATCTTTTCCTGAAAAGGGCTCTTCAAGGGGCTTGTCGACTGCAGCGCGGTTGTCGCACTGCGGTGCCGATGATGGAGCAGGCGCTCCGGGCTATGTTATTTGCACATGTACTGCTGGATATGCTCTGCATAGCATTTCTGCTTCTCATGTCTTCTGCTCTTCTTGGCCTTAGGCGGTACAGGGCTCAAACCGGTGGTGAGCACAACACAGCGACATGTGGGACACAGCCTGATGAACTGCCACTATCTTTAAGATCCTGCACCTCGCTAGCACACACATGGCGGAGGACAAAAAGCCAGCGATGGAACGCGAGACCTCAAGCTCTCGTTCTCGTTCTCCTCCTCCACCTAGGATGGCAGCTGAAGCATCAACAACGGATGCGACCCATGCTGTGGGCCAGACGGCAGGAGGGGCTGGAAGTTCTGGGGACAGACCTCGGGTACGATACTTGCGACCAGAACCTCCGCAACCAGGGGAGCCACCACGTGGACCTCCACCTCCGCAGCCAGTTCATGCAACGGGCGAGAATGCAGGCAGCACAGCTGGCCCTGATGGCTCACCGTACTCCTTTCACTCCTCGCAGGACTCTGAGGCAATCGACATCAGGGAGCTGGCGAGCGAAGCCAGACGCCGACGCGAAGTGGAAGGAGATGCTCGGCCTTCGCAGGCACCTAGCTGGACGAGTCATCCCCCTCCTTCATGTACCATTGGTGAGCATACAGGACGGGTGCATGACGAGGCAGCTTATGTTGGGGATCAAGAAGAGGCCGGCGAGGAGGAGGCTTGTGAGCACGATCCACACGTGTTCGGGGGAGAGGCTGCCGTGGATGATAGAACGGATGCTGGCGCAGCTGCAGACGAGGAGGAAGAGTCGGAATCTTCTGAGACTTCACCCTTGTCACCCAGCACATCAGACTTTGGATTCGGGCCTCAGACGAAAGAGTAGCCAGTTTCTTTGTATGTGCGAGAATCTCCTTAGGCAGGTAGGGACACAGATCTGTGCTACCTTTTGCAGCGCTTCTCGACTACACAGCAGAAGAAAAATGGCGAATGCAGCGTTCTTCCTGAGCATCCTTCGCACATGATTCCATGCTCTCATGCAATGGCTTGGGAAACCATACAGAAGATCTTCCAGTATGTCTTCGCTTGCCAGGCAGTGTATGTCCACGTCCTGATGCTCCTGCTGGGTGGCATCCTCAGAGAATATCCACGTTATATCTTGGCCCTTTGCAGACAATCTTCGCTTAATTTTTGGAGCAACACCCACAGTCCTTGTACCACGGCCAGGCCTATGCTTACAATGTCAACAACGGGGCCGCCACGAACGACTAGAAAACCGAGCCGCTCGGGTCCCAAGTCCCGAGGTGGTGGTTGTCTCTGGGGTTGGTTCGTTATTCTTTACTTGGTTATCTTAGGACCATCCCTGTGCACAGCCACTACAGACGCGAGGGTTAGCGGTTCTCCCACGGGATCGCTGGAAGCAACTGCCAATGTGGCAGCTGCGAAAACACGTGGGTCATCCGGTGATGTACTAAGGGCTGCGACTATACCGACCAGCAGGAAGCGATCCTACAGGCGGGCGGTACGACGAGCGATCAAGAACGGCAGCACCCTATATCGCGGACGACAATTTTCCAGTGCAGGGCTTGAAGCTCTGCGACACCCTTCGAGTACCTCTCAGAGGCCTGATACTCAGAAGCACAATCGTGCAGCCAGGAGACTACGAGTTCTTACAGTCAACTTAGATGGCATGACCTCAGCAGTATATGATTCACTGGTGTTGTGGATGCAGACGGCCTCTTTCGATGTCTTATTCATGCAGGAGACCCACAGAGGCTTCGGAAGCGAGCCAGCCGAGTGGAAGGCTGGGGCCTGGACCTTTGTTAGTTCTCCGGATCCACATACACGCTTTGCAGGCGTAGCGGTTGCTATCAGGACTTCAGTGGCATCATCGTACATCACACGTTTTAATCCTGTTGTGCCGGGACGCATTCTACACGTTCGCCTTAGTGGTGATAAGTACAGTATTGATCTGATCAGTTGCTATCAACACGTGATATCCAGCAGGGACTCTCCCTCCATCAATGCTTCCAGGCGGGAGCAATTTTGGATGGCACTTGGCAACTATGTGCCGACACTGCCTCAGCGGAACATTTTGCTTCTAGCGGGTGACTTCAACTGTGCAGCCAGGCGTGAAGATGGGGTTGCTGGATACTCAGCACCCAAGCCCAACAATTACTACTTCGATCAGGACGACTTCATGGGATTTGCTGCGGCGAACAGTCTCTGCATGCTCAACACATGGAGCAGGAGTCGCACTCATGATATGAACACGTTCTCAAACGGTCAGCATCGCAGCCAGATTGACTATGTCATGACGAGGAGATTACATGCGGACTCTGCTTCCAGACTGGCGGGACCCAGGCCGGATCTTGATTTTGCCCCCTGGCGATTAGGATCAAAACATCATCCGGTACAGGCTTCAGTCAAACTCAAGCCAGGTTGGATTGCTGCCAAACCCAAGCCGCCCCCTGGGGTGGAGTACGACAAGGTTGGCCTTGAGCAAGCTCTGCGAACACAGAACCCTAAGTCGGAGCAGCTTTTTCAGATGGTACAGGCTCAGCTCGAGGATCTCGAACAACCGACGGCGGGAGGACTTAACACCTTACTCCTCAGATGTTGTGGCGTGGTTTTCCCGGCCAAAGGTGTTACGCCTGGACTTCGCCCATGGCAACAACCGGAGGTGCAACACACTGTCAAAGAAATGTGGCGGAAAAGACGGATTATGCAACGAGTTGGGCATGATGTCCGGCTTCATCTCTTTTCCCTGCGACAGGTCTTTGCCGCCTTCCGTGCACATCGCGATTTTCAGAGGTGCTATCGAGAGCTTAAACACAGAGGGCAGCAACATCGCAAACAGATTCTGCACGAGCAACTTATTCTTGCTCAACAGGCGGAGCAGCAGCGGGATGTTCGGCGACTTTATCAGGTCATCAGGGCTGTGGCACCCAAGCAACAAGGGGGTCGGGTTCGCATTCGCACAGTGGAAGGAGGACTGCTCACAGCGGAAATGGAACATGTCGAGATCTTGGACCATTTTCGTGCTCTATTCACTACACATGTGCACCAAGTTGTTCCGGCACCCAGGCTTGAACCTGTTCTTCTTCAGGAACATGAAGTTTTACAATCTTTGAGTCAGCTAGGAGCGGGCAAAGCGGTACCACGAG